AGCGCGAACACGTACGATTATTCCATCTTTCTACCATCGACCATCGGTGCGTAATCGGTGTTATCCAAAAGCCTTCTCATTCTTTGATCTCCCATTTTTTTTTTCTTTTTTTTTTCTCGCTACGCTGTAATATGACAGAAGCTGTTGTGATTTTCCTCGAACTGGCGAAAAAAGAACGGACGTATAAAGGGATTGAAAAAGGGGATAACGAGCCACTCCCGTTTCCTCTCTCTCTCTCTCTCTCTCTCTCTCTCTCTCTCTCTCTCTCTCTCTCTCTCTCTCTCTCTCTCTTTGATCACGATATCGACTCCGAGGCACGACGTAGTCACGTCGACTGTTAAGAATAGTCGGCGTAAAAGGGCAGGAGGGAAGAAGAAGAAGAAGAAGCAGAAGAAGCGAAATAAAACGAGAAAGAAAAATGTGGAAACAGAGCTGGGTCGAAAAAGTGGCGGCAAAAATTTGCGAAGGTTTTTCGGAGAGTCGAGGTCGGTGTGGTCTCCGGGCCAAGAGAGAATCTGACGGTTAGAAAGGAATAGCATAGAGACCACGCAGACGTGGCGATAGGGCGTCAAAGAGGATCGAATGGCAGTAGGAGCGCTCGTCCTGGCGTCATCGGGACTCCTCCGTCATTAAGCACACCGGTCGGTCGGTGTCTAATTAAGCGGGACGTTAAGTGGGGGCGTTCGATAAAGCCAGGCCGTCCGATAAATTCGATTCGCCGGACAGCCGGTTAATACCCGGTGTATACCGGGGGATACCGGAGGGGCCAAGATAAAACGCGCGTTTTTCAGGAAGGTCTCGTTTCGCGAACAGAGGCGGAGGATGACGGACCGAAGTAAACGGAGTTCTACTCTCCGGGGGGAGGAGGATGGGCGGTATATGTATGTGTGTGTGTGTGTATGTATGGATCGTTCTTTCCTTGCTTTTCTCTTTAACCCTGGCTCGGTTCGTCTCCGCCGGAGACGACGTTCGTTCGTATAGGAAAGCGAAAGAGCGGAGATATGCAAACGTCTTGCCGCGAGACGGTTGAACATAACTCAGACACACGTACGCCAACGAACGACGCACACATGCCCGTACCACTGAGGACACTATAAACCTCGATACCGGGCGAATAAAATCCCGGATTTACAGTCCTGATACCGAGCGAGACGGTCCTGTCCTGTCCCGGTGCTGTCCTGTTTGTCGCTGTCGCACGGTGTGGGTTGGCTCATCAGTGATGGCCACGTCCCGCAGTATCTTTTCCCTCGGCATCGAGTAAACCGGCCAATCTCGGACTCGTACACGCGCGTGCATTCGAACTTACGCACACATTCGTTGCAGCCGAGAAAGAGAGAGAGAGAGAGAGAGAGAGAGAGAGAGAGAGAGAGAGTCGCGTTATGTCCGTACGGAAATCGACGTGTATACCTTCGAGACGGTCTCGAACTGTGCTAGTAACCGCACACTTTCGTTTGCTCGCGCAGGGACGCGTTGGTACGGCCTCCGTGTGCGTTACATCGTAGGTACGTCGTGGTATGCGTACCTTTCGCGATACTTAGAGAAACCGCTCCCTCTTATCACCCCTCCCGTGCGTCTCAGCAGAACCTTGTTCGATACCATTTGAGGACCTCCAATAACCTATCCGAGCCATTCCGATAGGAGCTGTCAGCCCGCACCCACACGCTGTGCGCGCGAGGAGCCGCTCAGCGCAGACCGGATAAGCCTGAGCGCAGGTGTGCCGCACAAAATCGTCTGATCGACGTGCTGAGTGCGCTGATCTCGATGACCTTCGCCAAGGGTTTCGATTCGACGACGCCGCGGTACACGAGGCACGCCCCGGATACCATCTCGACGAGCTGCCCGGTACCACGATACCACGCTACCCTCGTATCTTTCTGCCTCCTTTTCGTCCCGTGCTTTCCTCTCGCTCACTTTCTCGTAGTCCTCTCTCATTCACAAGATTATCCTTTTCCATTATTTAACTCCATTATCGTGAACATCTCGATTGGTATTTCAAGCGTGAAAAAAAAAAGTAAAAATACGGAAAGAGGTCTCGTTAGAAGTCCTTTCGTAACTTTCGTAACTTGTCGCAATGTATTTTCATCATAGATACACTGATCACAATGTTCGACGCGTTCCTGGCGCTAGTACGTCTACGTTTTGGGAGTTGCGTGAGTCCCTTGGCTTCGGCCAGGGTGATGAATCGAGTATCGTTCGTCGTCTTTGTCGTCGTCGTCGTCGTCGTCGTCGTCGTCGTCGTCGTCCTCGACGCTGATTGTACTCACTATCCTCGCTCGACATTAGCCACGAGACTACTCCATCAACCGTGCCAGACGATACGACTGTGTCTACGAAACTTCTCTGGTTGACTCGTTTCCATCCCTCGGGATGAGAATGGTCATTCCTACCTTTCCATGGATCAGACTTTCGGCCAAAATGGACAAAACTTTCGCGTGCTTGATCATACACGGGATACAAGAAACTTGATCACTCGGTTATATTATAAAATAACGAAGGTTAACGATGCAAAGTGGTCGTGTGATTCACCACTCGATATCTCGAGCGAGTCGGTCCGTGGAAAAGAATGTTGATGATCGAGGATGATTTCCATACGGTCCTATTAGCCGTTCGTCTGCAAGATGGAACGGTAAATGAAGTACGGTTGACTATCCTCCCTTTCGCCGCGTAAACACGAGGCATTGCAGAATACACGGGCATTAAGCGCAGCAGAGCAGCGCAGATTCTGAGAATGCATATAATTAAGCACGTTGCATCTCGAGAATGTTGTGTATGTGCGTGCGTCCAGCTTTGTGTAGCGACTCGTTCGAGAGGCAACGTGTGCCCGTGTGTACCTTATATAGATACACATAAATATATGCCTAGCCATCGTTGGTCCCTCCACCCCTTCGAACCTCTCAGCCCCTGAGCTCCTCATCCCTTCGGTCTTTGGTCTCTCTCTCTCTCTCTTTCTCTCTCTCCCTCTCTAGTTCTCTCGCAACCGCTCTTTCTCTTTCCCTCCTTCTCTCTCTCTATCTCTCGCAACCCTGCCCGACTCTTCCCCCTTTTCTTGCCCCGCGTTCAACGGTGATCTATGTATCAGCCTGTGCTCGCCGAACCGGGCAACGTGTGTCCGTCCCCCTCGTGTGCTTACTTTATTATCGGGGCTCAAATGAGAATTTATGCAGACATAAACGCTCGTGTCAGCAGCATGCCGCGTAGGTGGGGAGACACACCGTTGAACGGGCATCTGTCACCCTCTATGCTCTCTACCTGGCCTGCCTTCAAGACGGTGTCTCGCTTTTTTCGAAGACCATGCGAAATTTCAAGACTCGAGCCCGGGCAAACGAACGAAACGAGAGCTCGATCCTTTTACTCGTATGATATGATCGTTCCCGAACGATCGATCGACCAGTGAGACCGCGGCGAGCATTTCTACGCCTGTTCTTTTTTACTCAAAGATACTAAACGGTACGATATCGCTCATTTGGTTAAGGAGGGCAGTATATATTCGATATAGCGAAGCGTGGGCTACACCGATCTCCCCTTTAAGCTCATAAATAAACGAAACCGACAAGAATACGTCGTAGTCGAATCTCGTATAAATAAATAAATATTTCGTGAAAAAAGTGTGTGTTCTCCTGTCCGATGAATCATCGTAAAATTCTGCCCGCCTGTTCCATGTTACATATTTTATTCGAGATCTTTACGCCGGGCGAAAATAGCGTGTAATTCTTTTCGATTAAAAGGAAACTCCTTCTCCCGGCCGGAGGAACGTTTTTAATAAACTTACATCGACGAGAAATTATCATACGAACCTAACGTCAAGAGTATGCGATTCTTGCATTTAAACTTACAGGCTATTGCGAATTTTAGTTTCTTTGAGTCATACCATCGACTCGTTGCAAATATTGCAAACATTCGCGGTGAATCGATCGAGATTTCCAAATGCGGGAAACCATTTCCTTTATTTTCGAAATTATGCAAAACGTAGTTATTGCTTGTTATTAATTGAAAGAACGGGCGTAAATTTATTCCAGGAAGCTTTGCGCTTCGATATTTCAATATCGGCACGATGATGTATTTCAAAACGCGTTTTCCTTTTTTCCGATTATCCGTTCAATATCAGCGTTGACATAAAATGTATCATCACTGTACGGAACGGAAGGAACGGTACCGCCATCACGCATCCGAAAATTAATCGGCGTGGGCGCAGCCGATAACGAATGGTGTTCCCGCCAAACGGCCAGTATATTTTACTTTGGACTCCAGTGTCTGTTATTTTGTGCGCATTCTAGCTGTCTAGCTGGCACGATTTACTCCTGAACTCGATCAGAAATTCTCGACTACTGTGGATGGACAAATACCCACGAATCCATTAAAAAATTGCCATGTCCTGGGGAATTGTCTTTTAATTGAAATTGATCTCCTCGACTGCACGATATTATCCTTCAGTCTTCGTACGTGAGATATTGGAACATTATAGGGTATTGCCAGTTTCACCATCTGGCATATTTTCGTCTAACATACCGGCAGATCGGTTTCATTTTTTCCGATCACCCCAAGTATACCCCCCCAAGTATACTACGCATCACGTTAATAAATTTACATTCGCACGCGGTACTTACGAAACTATGTAAATTAGAGTGATTAATTTCATTCGAAAAGATAACTTTTACTTACGTTTCATCGTGTTACTTTTCATTTCTGCCGAGTTCAATTTACATATGTACGTGCGCATAACCTTAAACTTAGGACACAAGGAGCGTGGATGGGAATCTTATGCTGAAAGGTACAGGTCAGTTGAAAGAACGGCAGAAATAAAGGAAAATAAATTACTTACTGACTTCTCGGAAGTGTAGTTAAACGAGTTTGAGTTAGATACGATCGAGTATTCGCGAGGGGTATAAAAATCGATAAATATTCTCCTTGCGGAGAGAGAACAACCGGCTAATCGAGGTGGCGCTGTGGACATTGAGCACCACTGCAACCTCGAATCAGTGTGGACGACAGGTGGCGGTAGAGGCGAGGCTTTCCGCGTCGTTTTCCGCCATCTTTAGTTGACGGATTCGAGGCAAGAAAGGTGAACAGCTCCGTACGGGGAAGAGATAGGTGAATTAAAGCGTCGGGGGCAATCGAGAATTTGCTGGATCGAGCGTGAGGTAGTGAGTCATTCGTGTCTTGATTCGAGCACGATTCACGAAGTCGCCTTCGGTCGATCGCTGTACGGTAAGCACAGTAGAATTTTATCATTCGCCATTACGTCGACCGATATGGAAAAAAAATTGTCATTTCCGTGACGGCGGTGTTTACGCTGGGTGTGTCAAAGTGTTCGTCCTCTCTCTCCTTTTCTCGTTCTCTTTCTCTCTTTCATTAATGTATCGTAGCCACATCTCTCTTGCTGCCCCTTCCTCCCCGTTTTCGCTTCCCTGCCACTCTCCTCCGCTCTCCGCTTTCCGTTGCTCGTGGATCCTCGGAAAATGGTGATGCATTGCATTCTTAGAGCCTTTGTTGTGCCGCACGCCCACGCGCGTCCCTCTACCTTTGGAAATCGGGCATCGTTCGCGCCTCGTGTGCACATCTAGATACGATTCCCAGCCGTATTCGATCGAGCCGCCGCGTCCTCCGCTCGTGTCTCAACGTAAAAGTGGAAGCTGCAACAACGCTCGGAGGAATCTTTCGATCGTGCCCACATTCCGAGTAGTTACATCCTCCTTCCATTCTTCGCGATACAGTGCACTGACCTTACGCGCGTCGTGGCGTCTTCGAAACTTTCGAAGCAAAGCAAGGCTACGAACTTTTCGTCGTGAGATCGAAGAAATTTTTTTTTCTCGTTAGTCGTGTGCTGACCGACACAGAGGTGTATTCTAGTTCGTATTGCTTTCTCGCACTCCCTTCCACGGTACTCACGTTACGTCGAACGCGTTTTGAAACGAAACATTGTGATGACATCGTTATTTGACGCTTTAACAGTTTAAATTGCACCTTTCGCGTTCATTTTTTCCTCCGTTTTACGAAAGTCTCTGCGCGAGTGACGAACTCATTACCAATGTAAATCAAGTGTGGTAGCATGGTTTTCTTTTTTTTCAGGTGTGGATAGACTCTCCCGTAGGAGCCATGAGTTATCAAATGCCTTCGAATCAATCCAGACCAAGTGAGTCACCTTTATATACAATGTATGATAAAATGTGAATACAGTATGTGAAATATTTCCATTATCCTATGCAATTACTTTTGTAGTGTCTCACGGGAATTATCAAGGTTTGGGTGATCTACCCATGGGCTCTGCCAAAGAACAAACTTTGATGTGGCAACAGAATTCATACATGGGTGATTCAGGAATACATTCTGGTGCTGTCACCCAGGCACCATCTCTGTCAGGCAAGGAAGACGACGAGATGGAGGGTGATCAGCTAATGTTTGATTTGGATCAAGGATTTGCTCAGGGATTCACTCAAGATCAGGTCGACGAAATGAATCAACAATTGAATCATACAAGATCTCAACGAGTTCGTGCAGCTATGTTTCCTGAAACATTAGAGGAGGGTATAGAAATCCCTTCGACGCAATATGACCCAGCTCAACCTACAGCTGTTCAAAGATTGGCAGAACCAAGTCAAATGTTGAAGCATGCGGTTGTCAATTTGATAAACTATCAAGATGATGCAGATCTTGCAACACGTGCAATACCAGAATTAATAAAATTACTAAATGACGAGGACCAAGTTGTTGTGTCTAAGGCGGCAATGGTAGTTCATCAACTTTCTAAGAAGGAAGCATCTCGTCATGCTATCATGAACAGTTCACAAATGGTTGCCGCTTTAGTTCGTGCCATTTCAAACAGTGACGATCTCGAGTCGACAAAAGCTGCAGTTGGTACATTGCATAATTTATCTCATCACAGACAAGGTCTTCTGGCTATTTTCAAAAGCGGAGGTATACCCGCTCTTGTGAAACTTTTGAGTTCACCAATGGAATCGGTGTTGTTTTACGCTATCACGACTCTTCATAATTTACTTTTACATCAGGATGGTTCTAAAATGGCAGTACGACTTGCTGGAGGACTGCAGAAAATGGTTGCTCTGCTGCAGCGTGATAATGTCAAATTTTTAGCTATAGTAACCGACTGCTTGCAAATTCTTGCATATGGTAATCAAGAGAGCAAATTAATTATATTAGCTTCTCAAGGGCCAATAGAATTGGTACGCATAATGCGTTCTTACGATTACGAGAAGCTTCTGTGGACGACTTCGAGAGCCTTGAAAGTATTGTCGGTTTGTCTTAGTAATAAACCAGTGATAGTCGAGGCTGGTGGTATGCAAGCACTTGCTATGCATCTCGGTAATCCAAGCCAGAGACTCGTCCAGAATTGTTTGTGGACGTTACGAAATTTATCGGATGCTGGAACCAAAGTCGACGGATTGGAAGGTTTATTACAGAGTCTTGTACAAGTTCTTAGCTCTACCGACGTCAATGTCGTCACATGTGCTGCTGGCATCTTGTCGAATTTGACTTGCAATAATCAACGTAACAAAGTAACAGTATGTCAAGTAGGCGGTGTAGATGCTCTTGTACGTACGATCATTTATGCAGACAGTCGGGAAGAGATCAGCGAGCCAGCAGTATGTGCGCTCCGTCACTTAACGTCACGTCACGTAGAAGCTGAAATGGCACAGAATTCGGTCCGCCTAAATTATGGAATACAAGTGATAGTGAAACTATTACACCCGCCTTCGCGTTGGCCATTGGTTAAAGCAGTAATAGGATTAATTCGCAACTTGGCGCTTTGTCCAGCAAATCACGGCCCGCTTCGTGATCACGGCGCAATTCATCATCTGGTCAGGCTTCTGATGCGTGCTTTCCCTGAGACACAACGGGTAAACGTTATTTTCAAATTGATTCTGTATATTCAATAGTCTTTGTCAAAATGTGACTAAGAAAAGATTGATTCTTCTTTAGCAGCAACGTTCATCCGTGGCAAGCACTGGAAGTCAGCAGACATCAGGAGCATATGCGGATGGTGGTGTTCGAATGGAGGAGATAGTGGAAGGTACTGTGGGAGCGCTCCATATTCTTGCAAGGGAGTCACACAATAGGGTCATTATCAGATCTCAGAACGTAATTCCGATCTTCGTGCAGGTAATTTTGATACGCATCAAAAAATTTATTGAAATTTAACTTTGATATGTTTCATATTAATTTCATATTAATTCTAATACGTTTGTACATTATTTGTAGTTGCTATTTAACGAGATTGAAAACATTCAACGCGTCGCAGCTGGTGTACTTTGCGAACTCGCCGCGGATAAAGAAGGTGCCGAAATGATCGAACAAGAAGGTGCTACTGCTCCTTTAACGGAGTTGCTTCACTCTAGGAATGAAGGTGTCGCGACCTATGCGGCAGCCGTTTTGTTCCGCATGAGCGAAGATAAACCACAGGAATATAAGAAACGACTTTCCATGGAACTTACCAACTCTCTGTTACGCGAGGATACAAATCTTTGGAATAACGCTGACTTTGGGATGGGTCCAGATTTACAGGTATCGTAACCCGTTATATCGATGCATGTCTCGCTTATGCCGTGGTTAAATTTATTCGTTTATAAACACCTTGTAACATAGCCCCGATTTTTTCTTTTTGTCTTTTTGTTTTCATTTGGCGGCATGTGCTGCTGCGATAAAATTTTAGTATATATGCTATACCGTGCTAGCTTTCGAATAGATTCTAAGAATCAAGTGTAAACCGACTTGTGAAACAGTTTGTTACCGGTTCGTAAGTTAACTCGTGTAGCAGTTTTTCCTTTTCACATTTGGTTACATCGTGTTAAGTAAATTGAGCCACAAGGGCATAATACAATAATTTCATCTGACTAGTAACAGGTACTCGCATACGTAATCGTCCCCGTCATGTAAGTTTAGCAATGTATAATTAGATAGTCTGCAGAAGTGAATGTCATTGTCCATTATTCCAGTTCGCACAACATAGGTATAGTTGTGAAAATTTAATCGATCACGTAGCAAGAACTCTAAACCGTGACATAAAATTGACAACGAATTGTCGAGGATTAGTTGTAATAGTTGAACATTTTACACTTGTATTCATGTTTCATTTTTTTACGGTATTCAATATTCGTTGAGAAGTTTCAAATTAAATTCATAAGCTCAAAGGAGGCCCCACGATCGTGCCTAATGGAGCAATGGAACCAGTAATAAATGTACATTTTTATGATTTCATTATGATACGTCCTTAGATTGCAACGTTACATTATGCATGAGAATGCGTTTCATCACCGTTCGTGTTTCATCTCTCCCCCTTTATATAACATAAAAACCATTCGCGATTATTTTTCAAACGCTATAAACGCGTCTCACGTTTACTCATATTATTATTGTAACGCCTTTAAACGATGTTTTCCTACGCGGTGGAACACCGAGTATCTTGTGACATATATCCTCGCCGGCTGTTAAAGACACGCCTGCCAAAGAAGATACGTTTTGTGTTGATCTGAGCTACCTAATCTCTTCAGGACATGCTTGGCCCTGATCAAGGCTATGACGGTATGTATGGACAAGGACCCCCTAGTGTACACAGCAGCCACGGAGGCCGAGGTTATCAACCGCAAGGTAAGTTACGAGCCTTATCCTTGTTTTTTTTACCCGATTAATCGCTTTCAGACGATCGACACAATCGATCGATTGTAGATGAATTTACAGAAGTGGATTTTCACGGTGTTTCCTTCTTTTTTTCCCATCGCGATATTAATATTCGAAACTTCTGATACGCCTTGTAACGAATGTAACCTCCAAAAATCACTCGCTATATTGAGACCTTCTTCGAAAGAGATGTGCTCTATTTTTCTTTTCCTTCGTTCTGCATCGAGAAACAATTGGTATTGGTAATGCGAATTTCTCTGTGCTCGTGTTCGTTCTTTTTTTCTCTTGTACGAAGTGAAAAAATTTGGTAACTCCTTTATTTCTAAAAAGAAAAAATAATCGATGATAAGAAGAAAGCAATGCATTTAATTCTATGTTATTTTAACAGCAGCTTAACCCACGGAATATATTAAAATACAGGCTATCAACAGTATCTCGCAGTAACATAGGTGATACTCAGCTCTTATGTACTGTTCTGCTTTGTGATTAATCGCTAATTGTCTACTTTACACACGCTTTTGATAGTTTATAAATTGTATTTGATATCCTGGCCACACGATACACGTTTGATTGAATTTGGTAAATATTACACATAATGCACGTTTTGTGAATGTTTTCTTCTTTAATTACTTTTGTTTTTCGTTTTTCTTATCAAGAGTGCAGCAGATTCATATTATAGCGTGTTCATTTAGTTTTTTTCCTTAATATATTTGTCAAATTTTTCTGCATGATATATTTGTATTTTTATCATCTTTTCTCTAAGTGAACGTACTTTATGGTGGAAAGAAGCATAGATAAGTATTCGTAAGTAATTAGATAAGATGTGTTATTGTTCTCAAGAACGATCGAATCAAAGGCGAATTTAATCTTTCGATTCCTGTTTGTTTTCATTTCCATTTAAATCTAATCGAATGCATCTTGTGGCTATCACTTCACTTGTTGTCTTTTTCCCAAATTTAATTAATTTTACGCGATCTTTCATCCTATTAATTAGGAAAAAAACTGTTATAGCTTTTGGATATAATCTTATTCAGAAACATCTTATTTTTTTATATATTCCATCTCCATTAAAAACATTGCAACTTGTGTCATAGTTATACTTAGTTTTTTTTACCAGAAAATTTATCTTTATTGTTAATCTTTTATTTCATGATTACAGAAATTTTTATTCGTGGGACCATCCAGTTAATAGGTTGAAAGTATCAGTATCACAAGTTAAAGAGAAACGAAATTTCCATAGTTTGAGATGATTACTTGTTTTTTTATTTTTGTCTGAGAGGACAAAAAGCAAAATAGTATCTCAGCGAGAAAACGTGTCACAATTATTTAGCAAGGTTGTGCTTTACTGGGTTGAGAAAATCTTCACAGAATCATTGACACTGTAGTATTCTTCGATTTAATGTAGCAAAACATACGAAGAGTAACACGTTGGGTTCATCGTAAATTTTATGTAAAACAGGTTATGACCAGATACCAGTAGATTCGATGCAAGGGTTGGAAATAGGTGGAGGGTCGACATATGGCGCGATGGACACTATGGACGTGGCGCACGAGGGTGACCTGAGTTTCGATCATTTAGGAGAGCTTCCTGCACCGCCGCAAGATAATAATCAGGTTGCAGCTTGGTACGACACCGATCTCTGAAACTGTGCCAGCATCGTATCTCGCCAGAGAAACGGATTCGTGAGGCTCTTAAGTAATTTCAATACGGACTAGTATTGAAATTACTAGCTTTGAGACTAGTATTGAAATTACTATTACTAGAAATTACTCGTTTCGGGATTCGCGATACAAATAGGCGATCGTTTTGTGCGATTCGATAGTTCCGAAAATTTTGCGTGAAATCTATGATACGATTGTTGCTCGAGTATTGAATGTCGGATGAGATCAATGACTGTTGAATGAACGATAATGATCTATCGTATAATATCTATGTATGTCTATTAAGCTAGACATTTTTGTCTAAATTTTTTAAGATCGCTTGTTTGATACTACCCAATACTATTTGATGTTGTATATTACTTAAGTAGTATTGTATCATAGATTTCTTTTGAAATTCATAAAATTATTGAATCGTAGATGACGATCACCTATTTATACCCTTAACTTCGAAACGATAGTATCATTCTCGAGTATCAGTGAATTACAATCAAGTATAAATATAAATGAATATCAATGAACTTTCGCATTACGTATTTTACAGGGTAGTTATACTTAATTTTTATTATTATCATTAACGTAGCTACGCAATCGTGGCGGTACTTTGCCTCATTCGATGCTTTGTACGCGCCTCTGATCGCTGTCGATGTATTAGACCTAAGTGAGAGACACGTAATTCATACACACCATGTATATGTATCATTTAATTGTTCATACGAATAAACTGAACGATTAAGTATTCAAATTTGTGCCAGTTGATCCATTCTCTGTATTTTTCTTTGAACTGGAATTTATCAGAGAGTATATGTGAGAAGAGAAAAGAGATAGGTTTAAATCGTTTAAAGTAGTTCTAAATGAATTTCCCGCTTAGGTTTCTAACCATCTGCTTACGGTCAAGTCGATCCATAATGAGTAAATAGGTAAACGAACGTAGTAGTAAATTGGTATTTCGCTAATTAGTTGATATTCGTATATGGAAACATTAGGAAACTAGTACATAGAATATAGTATATGGCGATAACGAATCGAAAAGATACTCTAATTTAAATACTTAATGAATATTTTATATTTTTTTTAGATATTCCCAAATCTGTGTAAAAGAATTTTTTGGAATATATGAATAGTAAGTGAGTTTTTACGTTCTGAAATTACAACTTCGAAAGGAATTACTTCATTATACACTACTAAATGAAGTAAGTTTAAAAAATAAAATAATAGTCTTATTCTTTTACAATAAAGATTATTAATAGAATTGCCATATACAATTATTCTGTTTGATCACACATAATATATATATTTATGAAAACTTTCTATTTTATGTTTAAATACTTTCATAAAAAAAAAACAAAACACCTGTATACAAGTGTTGATACAAACAAGAAAATAACAAAATTTCTGTAAAATTGCTATAACACATAATTAAAATTTATCACAAAAATATGTAATTGTATTCTGTGCTAAAAAAAAATGTCTTTAATTATGTTCTATATTCATTAATTTAATTTAATTAATAGACATTTATGTATAAATTTATATACTTCTTATTAGATATTTTGCTTTTTCAAAAATCAGTGGATTCTTATTCGTGCACGGTTGTACCCCCACCCCACTAAATTCATTCGGCGACGCGAACCTGTTGCGCAGGGGGTTAGTTTGTTGAAAATCGAGGCGTTAGGATGTGTTACCGTGTGCGACGATTATTAACTGTGTCATATGTTCATCGTTATATTTTCACCGTTCATACCCGCTCTAGGATTAACATCGTTTGATCAATGTAAGTTTCTAATCAATAATTTATCGAATATTATTGTAATTTGTGTTCAAATTATCTTTTCTTCTGTGAGCGTCGTTTTGGTTATCATATTTGGTGGTAGCTCGTATTACGAATTTTCGAAACGGCGTGTGACTTTGATCATTGTTTTATTTTCATACATTTATTTGAAGATTTTGGTTTCTTTTTTGTACAGATTATTGGTTGATTGCAAAAGGAACTTGAAAACCGGAATATTCAGAAGGACGCCAATGATTGATTGGATGATTTATGACAAATTTGACGGTAACGTTTAATTTATTTTAATAAAGACAGGCATTAGTACGATTGTTGTTTCTTTTTATTAGATAATTTGTGAGATTTATTTAGTATTCAGTTAACATAAGTTGTCGGAGAAGTTTGAGTGCATCCTGCGCATCGCGTTTTTTTGCATATTGCGCAGCATTGATTTACCGCCAAAAAAAGCGCGCCATATTTGATTTCCATGAAGTACATTTAAATCTCTAGTGATGAACATTCAGATACAATTACAATTTTAGCAAGTTATATTAATAAATAAATAATAATTAATTGGCAATTAATCCTGAACCAATAGTTTAACTCTTTTATAGTCATTAATTCTAAAACTATCTCAAAAAGATTTCTTCTACTAATCATTAATAATAGAATTTTTATTAAAAATAAATACACTCATCGTTTGAATAACATTTTATACAAAATTGTACACGCAATATTAAACATGAAGTTAACATTCCTCTTTCATATGAACAAAGTAAAGCATTCTATTATAATCAAAGCATTCGGTAGACTAATGAAGAAAGTTCCAAAATAAACCAATAGAATTGTAAGCATGCAACATCGAACGTAAAAGGGTTAATATTCTTTTCATCGTACGAATAAAACATTCTAACAAAGCATTCTACTATAGTTTTAAGAAAACAACAATTTGTAGAACAAATGGCAATTTGCATGTGGTTAATGAAGAAAGTTTATACGAATAGAATTGTAAACATTGTTAGGAAACAGGTAAACGGTATATGCCCGAGGCATTCCGGTGATGGAGAAGGGCGCGTGTAAGTCGTTCGGGTCATTAATCGTGGAGGTAGACTGGCTGAGTGCACATTCGTGCGTACACCACGCTCCTCGAAGGTTCGGCTGTCGTGTTAACGGTTATTTCTTTCTACAATACGGGGAAAGAGAATCGCCTTGACGAGCGGACGGTTGCTTCGTAGAGTGTGAAAGGTTGACTTAACGTTCCCGGCAGTCGAAGAGGGAAATGTTTCCGGTGCGAGCGACAGCTGCCACCGAATAACAAACAATTTTTTACTAGTGATACCGCGGAGATTTCAGTGAATGTCGCACGTGTATGATATTTCTCGTGAATAATAAGTTGAATTGTGGCGTAAAAACGAGTGGTCCGTATAGTGATGTAAATTTAGCGACCAATCACCGAAAAATTGAACGACTGAAGATTTGGAGAAATCAACAAGGATTTGTAAGAAAAAAGGTATATATATTTAAGAATGGATCTTTCTTAAGAAACGTCGGTCTCTTTTTATATAGTGTTCATTTTACATGATTTATAGTTACATGGTTCTTTTTCTTGAATTTTATTTAGGATAAAACTTCGTAAAATGAGTGTCTGTTATTGAAAATACTTAAAATGATGACAGTAATAAAAAATGAAAATGTCATTTAATAGAAAAGATTCACCTTGTAAAAAGAGACCCGAGTATATGTAGAGTATTTTTCTATTTTTCTTAATATTTTTTGTATACAAATTAATTTATAGTTTTCTTTAAATGCCATGCAGCGAAAAGTACTTTTTTTTACCTCTGCGTTATTAGTATTTTGTATTTTATGATTTTATTTGTATTACTTTGAATTCATTCTTTATTTTTTAATAATTTATATAGTACGTTTCGATGTTTTTTTTTTCAAACGACGGAATATAGTTCTAATCTGTCTTTTTATTTTATATTCAATATGAATCTCGCATTGCATTGAATAATCATAATCATGTAACATAAGTAGTACATGTACGTAATTGAAATCGATACTACTGAAAGAAAATCTTAATTTCCATCCATCACCTACCCTTGAAATTCGATCGTGTACTTATGTCAAGATCATGATATATAAAGTAGAATTAAGTTCATTGACAATACCTTGTCTCGAGGATAAGAAAGGTAGTAGCCGAATTTTTTCCACGGAATCCAGAATGCAACTAGTTACCCTTGAAAAATTTATTCGAACCAGTGGTTTCCACTGCAATCAAATACCTCGGAAACAGGTTAAAGTTAAAAATATTCGCTAGATATTTTTTTTACAACCTTTCACGTTCGAACGTGACATGGAATTTAGCATAGTCCACCGTTTCTCTTGTGCAATTCAACGTGTTATATATCAAGATGAATAGAAAAACAGAGTCAGAAGTAGATTGTGAATATTTATGCAAATTTATATTTTTATGATAACTACTAAGATATCGTTTATGAAGTTTTCAACCAATTTATACCTGTCTTGAAAATAATATTAGTCGAATTAGATTCAATACATTTTGAGGATTGTAAAACAAAATTATAATTATTAGAATTCAGATTCAGATCATTATTGGTTTTTCCCCAATTTGATTTTTAAGTAGCATCAATCAATATTAACGTCAGTTTTTACTGCGTCAGGTTAATGTTTAAAGCTTTCTAAAAACTGTACTTAGATAGATATATTATTATAAAACAATGGACATTATACAAATTATATTTGGTTAACTCCAACATAATAATTGTTCAATAAATATTACTCACCAGCACTTTTACTTACTGAATTCTGAATTTTATACGTGTTGTGAAATTGGTTATTTAAATGCAACAACTTGATAGGAATTCCAGAGTCCTTACCTTTTAAGTAAAGATATAGTTGTTACGAAATAATGAATTAAATGATCATATTTATTTTTTTTTATATTACATATATTTCATAAAAAAATAATATAATTTTAGTTCAGATGATAACAACTAATTATAAATTCATAGTCAATTAATGTTCCCAGTAATAAACTCTTGTATTTTGAATATGAAATCTACGTATAAAAACAAATATTTAAATATTTGAGCAGCCTTGTTATTGCTACGAACATTTCAATTTTTAAATTCGATGCAACTTTAAACTAGACTATAAATATCATTACTTATGCAGAGATTAATAGTTACGTAATATAAGAAATTTTAAAGCGCAACGTGGAATGTACAAATATAAGTATGAAAAAATATCTAAAATATAATGTTTACTACAATATTTAGTATGTAAAACAATTTCTTATCGAGGTTCGATTATTTTAATCATATGTGAATTTAAAAAATATAGATTTGCATAAAACTCCGCAGTCTATTAACAACGATTAACTTTACAACGCGCTCTAATTATTCTCTTATTAAATTGTATAAAAAATGAGAAATACAAGCTACCATATTCTTCATTCGCAATCTTCAAATTTCCCACAAATGCATTAAAATCCACAGTATAATAATAATAATAATTAACATAATGATTCTCTGAATCATCTTCGACACAGTTGTGGTTTCAATTGTTAAAATTTCCATAAAAGATGGGAAACACAAACTACCATATTCTCCACTTGCGGCCTTCGTACATGTACATATTTTTACATGTTACGCATTTTCTGTGCCTTTCTGGATCTCTAAATTTCCCACAAACGCGTGAAAATCCGCAGTCCATTTGTAACAATTTCGCACAAAGTGACAAGTAAATCGATTTATTCTGTTTTCCAACGAAAAACGCGTCGCGTTACGTCGTGTTGTGTCGCGTCGTGGAGAACCGGTAATGACGTGAAAGTGCATCCAGAAGCGAAGGAACGATCTAGCAAGCGGGTCTCCGTTCCCCTGGCAGTCTGGTTTCGTTCGACACAGTCTCCTTAGTCTCTCCTTAGTCCGGCTCCGGCTTGATTGGCTAAAATTGCATCTTGGCTATCGAACTGTTTACATAATCGACTGATAAAAAAGTTTCTCGGCCGACTTTTGCCTCTTTTCCGTTAAGAAATCCAGTCCTGAATTTCTTGCGCTAGCTGTTTGCGATTATTCCCGCGCACCTGTTCAACATCGCGCGATCGTATCTATCCAGTTATCAACAGGTACGTCATCGAAGGGAAAACGTAATTTTTGAATTCGAACGATTTAACAGACGAAGGAGAGATTAAATTTTAAGAATTGAGACATTAATAGACGAAAGTGAGTTGTCTTGTATCTATGTGACGAGGCTCGATCATGTCTTTTAAACTTAAAGAAATCGATGAAAACGCGGTAAATCCAGTGTCAAATGTAAATTATAAATTTCAAGTAAAATTGTAAACTAAATAAAATTGTGAATATCGTGGAACTTGGTACTGAGTGCACTGTTTCTTGTTCGCTCGTGACATTTCTCAATCTTCAATTAAAGAATCTAATTTTTAAATTAATAATCGAAGGGAAAAGCTAACTGTTGGAATTGAGAAATTATACAAGAAATTAAAGAAAGATACTTTAGGAAATTGAAACTTAAGAAATTAATTAACAAAAGTGAGTCGTTTGTTTGAGAAAGGCCGATAGTGTCAAGTGCATTTTTTTAAATAAACCTAACTCCAAGGGCACTGATTCTTTTCCGTTCTTGTCATTCCTAATAATTATAAACTGCACGCCATAAATAATTATAAGTTACTCGCGTTTGTGTATGCGCGCACGCACTTTTATTTCACGTGTTTCGCCGATTGTAATTTCTGGCTTTTTGCACAGGTATCGAGAACCGCATTAAACTGGAGCAAGGAGTGGAAGCGGAAGTGCATGGAACGAATCTCGTCGGGTAAAGGTTGTTGCCTCGCGAAGAAACCAACTCTGCCCGAGGTATTTCGGTACAGTGCATAGAAACTGAGAGCGGTTAAAGTCGGGAGATGGCTTAGCAAAGACTAACGAAACGGAACGAAATTCAGTTTTACAATGACGTTGGTGCACACTGGCGTGGAAAACACACCGAAGAAACGTTGATGAATCAGAAAGGAATCGTTTCTACGGCTGAAAGATGACCGTCGCGATGGAACACAAGCGTAAGAGCTCGTGGGATTCGAAGGTGAGACGAATGTGGCGCACTTTCCCCCTGTGTATGCGCTTTCCTCGTTAGCATCTTACTCAGGTCTCGCGGTTAATTAGCTGGCTGGTTGGTTGGCTCCCTGTCGCATGTGAAATCGCGCGTTAAAAGAAAACGAATCAAATCGATGAGAAACGATGAACGTCGGACAAAAGTATGCCCATTGTTTTCGAACGAAAGTGTAACGCGTTGTATCTACGATGTTTCCTTGCCGGTAAGGAAACTTTCGGAATGGCATTAACGCGGTTTAGAATAGGAGAATCGTGCAAACGCGATCCAACAGAAGAAATCGTAAGCTGAAGCTGTGTGAATTATTTCTGCGGTTACGTTGCGCTTGGTCATTATCTGAATTACTTGCGCGTTGCGCTGCGGCAGGCCGATAACTTGCGCAAACGGGCGGAATCACCTTTGACGCAGAACGATTACGTACGAAAGAAACTTTTGTTCATTGTGAGATCGTTTTGTTAACGCTGGAACTACTATCTGATCTTTAGCCTTACAACTGAGAGAAATTTTCGTATTTTCCTACGCAAAATCACGAAATTTATATTTTATATTTTAGTTTCAACGCAGTGTAAGAAGGAAATCGAAAAGTATGATTTTATTTTTTAATTTACAACTTACAACGTGAAATATTCATTCGACGGATAATTAAAAATTCAATTATTCATATGACTTTAGTAATTACAAAGTGATTTTAATTATTTTCTGATAGTTTTAATATTGACGGGGATGCGTTCAGTAATGGTCGTCGTTTCTCCTTAGAGACATCGACCTTGTTCTCCATTGACCCCGAGTGATGCGGCGTATGACGCCGAATACCTACGCACTCGATGGAGAACTAGGTTGACTGAAACAAAGAATGATGTGTTAGCTGGGTTGGGTTACCCTGGGTTGGGCTGACATCTCCTCTCTTCTCGATATACCGTTACCTGGCTAGTAGCACCCAATCTGTCGGCTGGCATTCCGCTCGAATTATGCGAATGACATTTGTCACGTGCTTCGCGATTGTCTCTAGATAATTTATCATCAAAACCCACGCATCGAACGCGTTCCATTTTCTTTTATCCCTTCGCGGTTAATAGTGTTACAAAGTAACTCTAATGTTTTATTCTTTTGAGGCAAATAGTGCATCAATGTAACTCTAAAATAACTCTTGGATAAAATATTTTTAGGATAAGACTTAGAAAAACACTTTTAAAATAACTTGTAGAGAAATACGTTTAGAATAACTTCAGAGGATATTCTTCTAACATTGTAAAAATTGACAATTAGAATATAAGATTCTAATTATATTGAATCTATCTTTTCTTTTAGATAAGCCAATATTTGTTGAAATTCTGATTTTTATATCATTCCATGGCTAAAAGAGAACATTTCAATATTTAAGAAAAAGTAAAGAGTTGTCATGTGCAAGCATGTGTTACATTTTAAGCACTCATTACTAGATTTATAATAATTCTATTACTAGATTTATAATAATTCTAGATAATTAATTTTTATTTTTAAAGTATTTAGAAATGAATTTATAGTACATTACTATTTAATCCTTCAATCAAATAAAAGTTGACAGTATATTGAATTTGATGTGAATTATCAGATGTGGCTTATCACTGATAATTGTCAGAACATCCAGATTGTGGATGGTTTCATATTTTTGTCGAATTTCTACTTCCATCTTTTCTAATTTCTGAATTTTATTATCTTGTCTCTTTTACTGCCTATTATTGTCTTTTTATTTTCTAAATAAAACATAACTTTGTTCTACTTTACCTTTGTACATAGATCGTTGCCAATGAAATAAGCATTTAAAACTCGTAATAGAAGTGATTAAAAAGAGAAGGTGATTAAATTACATCATCGTCGATGTCAGTCAATTTCCAATGAACTCGGTAGCGAAGTTAAAAAAGAACGGAGGTTGGCAAAGGTGCCAAACGTTTCTCCGGCCGGAGAAAACGGGAGAAAATGGTTGTCGTTAATAGATAAGAGCCGCTTTGAAGCGATAACAATTGCTCTGCATTTTACTATTACTCTGTCACGGTTAGGTGAACGCACGTGCTCCGTGTATGCCGGCACTCCGCCATGACCGATTGTAATTTCAAGCAAACAGAACTCGTTCCTAGATTCTTGCTCTTTTGGAAAGATACTCCGACGTTTGGAGTAACGGTAATAACGGTCAAGAAAGTCACGAGGAACCGGGCGAGCCAATGAAACTTGGTAGATTCTTTCCGTGGGTCGATGACACCGTTTCTTTCTTTCTGCGACAGACAGACAGAGAGACAGACAGACACATTCGATCCACGTCTATCTTTATCACAAATTTCGAGAAATTTGTACGATCGCGCGTCAATTACACGCCATAATTGTTCTTCCATAAAATATAGAAGAATTTCTTCATTCAGAATTTCATTTGAAGTATATTGTACATACTCGCAATAATTTGAAAGTGTTCAAACATTTGTGAACGGTAATAATGTACGTGTGGCGCCAACGGCGAGAATCAGCGAAGAAAAATCGACTTCACAATCTATTCTTGCGGTTGGACGATTATCGTTCGACTCTGTTCTAGCAGAACCAGAGTGATCGAATGAACTTTCACGAAAGCATCGGCAATGGAAAGCGCTTTTCTAACGTGCACTGTCAGCTCTTGATTTTTCTCGGCCTTAAAGTCATCGACCGCGTCCATTAACGGAAGCGTACTCAACTAGTCCGAGCGCATCTTTATCTTCTCGACTGATCTCTCTGGGTCTCGTTTACCGACACTGAATTCTACTTTCCACACTTGACGCGCTTAAATTTCAATCGGCCATTCTCGCCACTAACTGTCCCATTAAAGCCGGATCGTGAATTTATTGACAGTAGTAATGACAGTGATGAGAAGTATGGTGATTTATATTTACAAAACCGTGTACTATAAGTCAATAGCTTCTCATCTTATGAAACATTGATTGGACAATCGAATTGTATTTGCTATATATGTCATCATAGTGAACGTAAAATAAGAAAAATCGAACTGAACGTTACATGCGCAAATATTTTGAAGTGGAGTTCAAATTTGCATAGTAAAACGCGTCAAATTAATGATAAGACACAAGGGTTAGATAAAACTGTATAATAACTGTACACAACTGTAAATTAACACGAATAATATTAAAAATTATCCAATTTTTCGGACCTACAGTTGCCATATGCTCGCTATAGATCAATAATACTTCATTAACTAATAATCAGTTTAAATATTGGTGATTCATACATTACAAAGAATAGTTAAGGGATAATAGAAATGTGGAGAATTAAGGAAAAAAGAATTTTCTTTAATTAAAATTTAATTAAAATTTAATTAAAATTTTTCTTAACACATGCGACATAGGATCAAAATTCGTATAAACTAATATCGACACTAATGAATCTTCTTTCGCTATTCCCTCTCGTTCTTTCGTCGGGTTGTCTTTCGTCAGAAGTTGCTGTTCCTTCGGCGTGAAAAGAACGAGTCTCCTGACCTTTTCGGCTGCATTGCATCGTCGCGGAAAGAATTACTTTTACCGACGATCAGTGAACGCGTCCGCTGGAGAATTTTCGTTTGCCACGATATAATTTTGCAGCCGTGTATCGTTCGCGATCGATCGTGCCCGATTAACGTGAAGGGTTACAGCCCTATTACGAAACGTTGCTTTATTAAATAAGTATCTCTCCTACGAAAACCGTATTTGAAGGCTATTATCGAACTAAGTTCGAAGAACACAAAGGTTTCGTGCACAAACTTTCAATCGACTTTCGCAATATCTCTGCGCACCATTGTTCGCCAAAGACACCCCTCGATTTGTTGCGTAACACACGCGAACAAAATCTCGATTCGTTTCGAATGCAGCTAGATATACTCGGCTTATTCGCTTTTACCGATTGTGCCAACCTGTGACTCGCAATTTCCTCGACAAGTAAGCCTCGGTAAATGAGACGAGAGGAAGGTCTTTTACGTAATCGGACGCCGACGCGACGAAAGAAAAGGAAAAGCGATTGCTGGACGAAACGTGGAGATGATGCGTTTGACTCTCTGATTATAGCATCAGAACACTTTGATCGATTTGCGGCAACGTCACGTATTTTTGAATTCGATTCAAAGTTAAGAAGATTTGGATTTTCCGAAACTCGCCCCAATTTTTACTGCACTGTTTAATTAAAATGATTACCATTTACCATTTTTCTCATTTATTCATGTCACTCAAAGCGACGAAAATAATCTCTTAACCAGAAAGTTTCTTCCAATTCGAAAAGATGTTGAACAGATTCAACAGTTTTAAAATTCATTGGGACGAGATTTTATCCATGTCGTACAGTTTATTGGAGAATGATAATCAATTATTTTAAATCGAACAAACAAAAGAAACGACGAGACGTCAGTTGTTTTCGGTTTCAACGCGGTAAATGGGACATTAATTTGAACTACACACGAGGGGAGCAGTATGTGTAGCGTTTATCCGATGCTGAGAGCGTGTCGAAAAGAGCATTGAAACTTGGCATCGGTAGAAAATGTACGATTCACTGGTGCTTTGGTTACGGACCGTGTGCCGAGCGTAACATTTGAACGCGAGGGCGTAGGCTCGTTTGCGCCGCGTCGTGCATTCGCGCGAATACACGCGAATCGCGTCTGTGTTGACGAATATGCACGCGTTAGAGATGGGTTCAACTCTAATATGCGCTCACAAAACTGAGACAAACTCGATATCTAAACTCTTGCTTTATTTCTCAGTGAGTAAAATAAAATACATCATCATTCGCTTGTAACATTCGGAGATTTTGAACTAAAAGACGTATATTGTCAATTGTTCTTCAATATGGCTTTCCTGCTGTCTATTACATTAGTACAAAGATAGAATTTCGAAAAAGCGGAAGAAAGAAACACTTTGTCTAATCGAAATAATCTCCATCTTAAAAGACTCGAATCTTCTTGTATCGAATCTTCTTACTCGATGCATTCTCTATCCATCAATGAAATTCCATTTCATTTTCAGAAGTGCTCGTGAAACGTTCGAAACTGTCCCGCTTAGACTCGGGTATACTTGAAAGGAACTATTGGAGATACTTATAATACTAGTAAAGTTTCGAGCCTACTTATGAGGTCCTCGATCCCATCTCTAGCACGCGCATCGGTGGCGAAGCGATTACACGGCCGCTTACACACTTAGCGCGCACGTCACAGAAGATAAGCTCATTGCTCCTGACGCTGAATGTGGATGTTTAACCGATGGTCGTACACGGTGCACCATATACTTACATGGGCCGTGCACCGTACACCAGTAACGCGCAAACGGTATACCGTATCGTGTGTCGTGTACTCGGAGCTGAATGCGCCCGCAAAATCGCACGCTGGGTGCCTGACCGAGCGCGTGAAACGCGGTTACGCAACGCTCAATAATATTTCGATAATTACACGGATTATGCGATTTGTCAGATTTTTATCGCGACGTGCGTTTACGAGCGTAAATTATTCAGCGTGGAAATTAATTCGATGCCTTCTCTCTAGATCTTATCGATTATTTATGGGTTTTGTCCGTTGATTGGCTGTAATTAGCTTGTTTGAAGTATTGAGAAACAACTAATAATTTAGTATACTGTTCTGGATATTGGCTGGAGTAATAAATTCATTTTTATTGCTTTTATTTATTGAATTTGAATTAGACTTTCTTACACTCAGAATGAAGTACAGTATGTAGACAAACGCTTCAACATTGATAAAAAAATTGAAGAAATTGTTGTATCAATTGACAGAAAGAGATGTTAAAAAAATTTTTTCAAGTGATTAATTTATTTTTCTTTCATCGATCTTCTTCTTTCGAATCGTACTAACGAATCACGAATCTTCCTTTTTCAGATATCAGTAAGCACGGTAAGCACGAGAAGATTCAGCCGCGCGGGAACTCCAAGTTCGATCTTGTCATCGGACAGCGACATTCGATTTACGAGGAAGCTCGGTGGACAATATCGTTGTGGATGCTGCGTGTTAGCGGCGTTTTTGCTTTTCCTCCTCTTCTCTGGAGTCTCCATATACCTTGGCTGTAAGTATAACACTCGAGTTTCGGATTATTTACCGTTACGTGGAATAGAACGTTCCAGCAGTCGTATTGTAAGAATTCTAACTCTCACAATTAGTTAGTAAGTATTAATATTAACTGCATCTCAAACTCCGTTCTGTTAATTCTGTTAATTACTGCGAATGAGAATTGAAAAGGAAGAAATTTGCTGCGAATCATATCCGATAGTCAGCGATTGAATATATAATAAAAATATAATAGATATAATAGCATTATATCTATTGCAGTAAAAAGCATAACTGTATCAATGGCTATGAAATTGTCGATAATATAAACTGACATAACTTCGTAAAAAAAGATCATATAACGATTCAATTGGTTTAGTTAAAGAGTTTAAAGCGTTTTCTTTGTAATTAGATCTCTTAAAGCTTGTTGTACGATTTTCTTCCACCATTTTATTGAACATTGAATACCAGGGATAAATGATAAAATTTCAATGCTTTTTGAAATTATATCGTCCGTTCCGGCAATTTATGCTGTGTCTTCTGAAACACTCGGAAGGTTTAATAATTCCTAGTGCCTGTCTGTCGAGCATGAAGACCGCTCAGCCAAGGTATTCGAAACGCGCAGGAGGTTCTGTTCGTGCGCTTTCTCCGCGAACTTTATGCGCGATTCGACTGATGCTGTAAATGAAATTACTCCACGGTTAACCAACGCTCTGGTGGACGTGAAATTGCTCCGAAATGCATGACGCTTGTTTCAGAAGACGGACGAATTCTTCATGGTACGATGAATATTTCGTGAAGCGTAAAGTGTGATCGTCTTCCCTCGTTTGCGAGTGTACGTACGTTCCGCCTTATGGACACGTGTACTTCACCTTGAAATCGCGTTCGATCGTATGAACGAAGAAGCAAACGAAGCGTGAGAAGAATCTTTGGCTAATTGATGCAGATTCGCTGTTAATATTCCTACGTTTAGATAACGGTGAACGTTGAATAGGGAACAGTTGAAAAAACAAATGGATTTAAAGTATTTTCTCCAATTCATACAATGCTCTCAGCAGATTGAAAAGTTCTTTTGATATAGGAATCATGCGTATTGACTCGGAAAAGTATTTCAGCACTTGCAGAAAATTTTTATGTCCATAGTGAAATTTCATTAACATTGGAACGAGTAATATAATGATGTTCTAAACTTACAAACAGGTGTAAGTACTTGGATCTTGTCGAGGGACCGTGCGTATCCTTCGGCAGCCAAAGAAAACCGAACAAAAAGAGGAAGAAGCAGGATGATGCGGCCAGAGCCCATTCAGGTCTTTCAACGTGCAAATATAACGGTCCGGCCGAGTTACCGAGAAAATACGTCTACGTGTACAGATCGAACGTTTTATCCGTGAACGACCTGAACGATCCTCTCGATAAAGCTAAAAGGATTCCCGGGACGAGAGCCGATTTACGAGAAAAGAAAGCGAATACGGTCGTGACGAAGCGCAAAGGCCTGCGCTCTGTAATTCATGGTATAAGCCGGCAAAGAGAGGCAAAGGTCGAAGAAGATGCACGATCGCGTTGAGGTCCAGCAAAGAGGCCTTGAAAGTAGTAAAGCTAACGGTCTGACCGAGTTGTCGGGCCGTCCGAGCCTGTCACCCCTCCAACATTCGACCTCAAAGGGGGGATCCGTGTCCTTGAATCATTTCGATGCCTCATCATACTAACCGAATTCTCCTTTCGAAAGTATTTCGCGCTATCAAATTCATATGGTGATTCGTGGAATCTAGAATTTTATTAGACACTGTAATGAGATTCGATTTTTGATACTGATTATACGTTTGGAATAATTGTATATGTTATATACTAATTTTTTAATTACTAAATGTACGTTTAAATATTGTATAACTTTTTCATAACCATTCTTATATTATTATCTATGTCATTCTTTCACTTTTAAAATTTAAACGATTGATATGTAGTCTAAACTTTGTAATTTTAACGGCCTAAAAGACATATGCGATGTCCAGATTTGCTGCAATTGCAAAGTGATGCAATTTTTTAGCAACCAATTTTCCAGACTTCCAAAATTTTCTTTTCCCCTAGTACTTTCACGAGTCGCTGTTCCACACTGGAAAGTTGCTTCTGAGTACAATATAAAAACCGATCTTTGTGCTGTCGATATTGATGCACGAGCCGCAGAAGATCCCCGCCCGCAAGAAATTGTATCGCAGATCGAAAAAATAATCTCTGCGGTGTAAAAATAATCGACCGAAGGCGCGGTGAAAGGTGAGCCTCGGAGCCGTCTTGCTGTAGGTGCCCGATTGCCCTCGATACTTTAGTTTGTGTTTACGATATCGGTTCGTCGAATGTGAACTTGTACCTCGGAAAAAATTCATAGCAATTTGAATATAAAATAACGGGCAACACTGCATCCGCAGAGCGTTGTTACCGCCACGTTCTCTCGAACGAGATGTTTTAAGAAGGAGAATTAGAAAGTATCATTTAGTAAGCTGCAGATGGCCGTAAGATGGAAATCGTTCGATTATTCTACAGTGAAATCCGTTCGTTTCTTCTTTCCCGCGTTGGAAACTGCCAATTACAGTAAATTAAATTGATACGACGCTCGTCGATGTTGGAAATAACAGTCGTTTGCATTTTATTCTTGAGAACAATTTCCTGAACTCGAATTAATTAATTCACAGTTATTATTGATTGATATGTACACATTCACTGTTTCATGTAAATTACAGATGTTTATGTATTTATAAGGAAAGTTCTAAGATTTCTAGAAGTATCTTTATATTTGTTCAATTCTTGAAAGGTGTATATTTAATTACAAAATTACAGACAGATTAAAGTATAATGTTTTTATTCTTTGTGATGTTACAACTACGTATAATGATTAATAAACTGCAGATTTTTATGCATTTATAGGAAATTCGAGAATGCAAAAATGTAATGTACATATAAAAAAAAGTATATGAAACAATTTTTTACTGAAATGTTTTTTTCTTTGATAATATTGCGAAAAAATATAAATTTGCATAAAAATTCGCAGTATAATAATTAGTTTGGGTGAATTTGATTAATCACACGTGGAAAAATCAAAATTCACATTAAAAATCCTTTTTTTCTTAATTTATAATGCATCGCAGCCATTTATCAACATTAACCGAGTTTTTCAAAGTTTAATCCTTAATTGAATTAGATAATTATACTAAATTTGTTTAGCATTTTATCGTTTTCTGTGAGTGAAGACTTTTTGAAACATTAAACAGTCAGTATTATTTGAAACATCATTTAATAGCGTTTAATCGATATATTTTCAGACACGTTCCTAACGTCAGATCCACCAGGTGATCAGATATTCCTGGCGACATTTCGAGTGATCGAAGGTGATTCCTTCGTTTCAGAACTAGCAGATCCCTCTACCGAAGCCTTTCGAATACGATCACGAGAATATCGCGATCGACTTAATCTTATCTTTCGCCGCAGCTGGCTGAGAATCTCTTTCCTCGCTGTGGAAATATTGGCGCTCGATGGGTAAGTATGTTACTTGGTAAGATCAAGATAGCATAATTCGAAATTATAATTTTTTTATTCTCATTTGAGAAACAATGATTTTGTTAATTATCAATTACTGAGAAATGTAGGTTTTTTTCAAACAAGTATTTACACATAAGTATTTACAATTTAGGTGTTGAATTTTAAAGTTCTTTATAAAAAATAGAAATGGTAACTTGGATTTCCCAATTATAATCTTTATATAAAATTGATTATCATTAAATCATCTCTGTGGTTTTCAATTAAAAACGAATAAAAGCAAAGGAGTGAAACGAAAGTTTCATCGTGAAATCTCCGCGTGAAACGTGGTCGAAAGCCGAGCGATCTTTCTTGAAATTTTACCGATTCCCGCAAGCAAGAGAAACTCAGTTATCTTCAACTGGCTTTCTCGTGACCTCATGTTACACTCTTTCAACCCTCTGTATGTAATGTAACTATTTTCATTTATTCACAAATAAATATATATATTATTCATAAATAAATTGTAGATTTTTATGCATTTATTCGAAATTTAAAAAATATAAAAGTGCACAAAAAATACAGAAAACACTCCTATCATTTTTAATAATTAAAGCGAATATTTTAAGTTCTATTCAATTTACATAAAAATCCGAACTTTACCAATAAAATACAATACAATAGTGAAGAAATAAGTGGACAAGATAAAATTTTCAAATTGTGAATACATACGAGATATATAATTCTCAAGTAACTACAACCAGTAACTATTTATCGTAATAAATTGTAACAGATCCGAAGGTGAAAATTTGGCGGTACACTTCGAGATTCGATTCGATCCACGATATCAGACTATCACCACTGCGGACGTCGTTGATATTCTTACGCGAGAGATCGATCCTGCAACCTCGCAGTATTTGAACAATTTAACGATCGACTCGCAAAGTCTCGAGGTTCAAGAGAGCTTGAAAGCTCTGAATGCTCAAGTCGGTCAACAGACGACAGTTTCAACACCACCACCAACTACTACACCACCGCCTCCGAGAAGATGCACCAGTTTGGATTTATCTTACTGCAAACATCTTCCATACAATGTTACTTCGTATCCAAATATATTGGGACATCGTTCGTTGGCTGATGTGGAAGAGGATGTGATCGCTTTCAGGTAAATATCGACCGTGATTTGCAAGCTTATATTTGTTTCTATGAAAATAACACTTTGACAAATTTCTAATGACACATGACATTCGTAGATATTTTTTGTATTAACTTTTTACTGGGGAGAGCTTTTTAAAAGATCATTTCTCGTTATAGGGAGTTAGTCGACGCGGAATGTTACCGATTGGCGTACGACTTTGTGTGCCAAGTATTGCAACCAGCATGTATATCCAATCAACCGGAAGACCTTCTCCAGCTACCATGCAGGAGCTTCTGTAGAGAATTCTGGAACGGATGCGGTAGCCGACTTCCGGACAAGATCAAACGCCTGCTGGATTGTTCAAATTTCCCAGAGTACGCGGACCAAGGTGGTTGCAGAGCAAAGCCAGGTGAACGAACGTAACCTTTTATTTGCGAGGCAACGCGGAAACGATCAACTGTCACCGGATCGTTGCAATTATCGGACAATCATTGTCGTAGGATGCGTGCAAGCGCTTCAAGCGAAAGCATTGTCACCGAGAATTTGCGACGGCGTGATCGACTGCCCTGACCTTTCCGACGAGAAAAATTGCGCTTATTGTCGCGACGGTTATATGCATTGCGGTGTAGGCAGAACTTGTATTCCACGTGGCAAGAGATGCGATGGAAAATTGGACTGCGCCAACGGCAGTGACGAGAAAGATTGTCGTACGTATGATTGGTGATAGCGATATAGCGAGATCGTGGAATCTGTCAAAAATTAAAGCCAAACAAAATTTAGAACTCTAAATTCTCCTTTCTATTCCTGAATTAACTTTTTAATTAAAAAGTCCATTTCGTGGATTAATTTTTTAATAAAAGAATACATAAAATATCAAAAGTGGAGTAACGAACTCTTGCTTAGGTTTCATTCTTTAATTGTGTTCATAATTGCTTGAGAATCTGTGGTCTAGAAATAACGCAATAAATATTAGGGATCTGTGAGATTTTCCATAATAGTAGTTGTAAGTATCAATGCTACAGTACTTAAGAATTAAAAAAATGGATACAGCTACGGTTATCATGGGTAAATCTACTTAACATTTTAATCTACAATTATTTCGTATTGTCGTACATCGTTTTTGACAACATACATGTCCTACAGTATCTTTAGCACCGAGTATTCGATCTGTGAAATCACAACCTTCGGATACACCGTTCGCCACAAGGTATAACAACGAAGGATTTGTAGTGTTTAACGAGAAAGGTACTATCGGGAAACTTTGCACCGCAAATCTGAACGCGACACTGCCAGGAACGGAAATGGAAACCGTTCTTCAAACTGCTGCCAGCTCCTTGTGCAGTCTGTTAACTTACACGTGAGTACACCGTGCTTCGTCTTTTGCAACAGACACGAAAGATGTCTGCTTTAATTTAATCTAGAACCAAAATAATGCAAATGAATTTTACTGATGAGAAGTTTTCTTTCCCATTTAGTATATTAATATTTAAATCAGTTAGTATGTTTAGAGACCAAGACAAGTTATGAATGACTTATAGAATAAGTATAGCACTACGTATATACGTGCATTAAAAAATTTAATTTAATTTTTTCATAGAGGAGTAAAATCCGTGGAAGTAAGAATCGACGATGAAGAGGATGTTCAATACGTACATATGGAGGATCCATCAGCAACAGAGATTACGTTTGTTAGAGCACCCTGCCCAAGCAAGGAAGTTATGTACGTCCGATGCTCTGAACTCGGTACGTCATAAAAGCTTCATTTTCCTCAGGTTCACGCTAATTTAAAAATCGTGTATTTATGTCTAGAGTGTGGCGTACAATCTTTACACGCAAAGAGTAGTAGCCGAGGTCTTAATAAAATGGCAGAACCAGGAGATTGGCCTTGGCACGTAGCACTCTTCAAGGAAGAAGTGCACGTATGCGATGCAACGCTTGTGGCGGAAAATTGGTTGATTACAACGGCTTCATGTTTTCAAGGGTACGTTTTACTGTATATATTCCATAATAGTACAATAAAATTTTAATTACGATTATTGATTAAAGGAATGATTGATTTAATAATAATGATTGAGGATCAACGATGGATTAATCTGAAATTTTATTTGTAATTTTTTTTTTTATTAATTTACATTATTGAATTTTGTTTGGATATGAAAAGAATTAAAGAAATTTAATATTTTTTTATTCTCACTGTGTTTTCCATCAAGATTCTACAATTTTATAAAATTTTAAGGAATTGAAATATCTGTGATATTGTAACAAATTATTGTTTGATTCTTCAATCGGTTAATAGCATGGTTGGGAATAATTCTTTGTAATCAAAATTTTAAACTAAAAGAATTGTTATATTATTCAACATTTTTTATTAGATTTATGTGCTCTTATCAGATTTTTTATAATATAAGCCATAGTAATATCGAAACAACCTGCATCTTGATAATCTTGATCAATCCAGATAATCAATATTCTACAGTAGCATTCAACACTTTCTCCTTATACAATAACGCAATTACAGTCAGCCAAAGGCAGAATGGTCTGCAAGAATGGGCACTGTACGTCTCTCGAGCACGTCACCTTGGCAACAGGAGCGTAGAATCGTGGGTATGATTAAATCACCAGTTGAAGGGAGCACGACCGTTTTATTGAAGCTTGATCGACCTGTTACCACGTTTTCTGATTTCGTAAGACCTGTATGTCTACCTTCAAGTCAAGATCCACCGATGAATATGACTCATTGCAACACTCTTGGATGGGCCAGAAATCGTGAGTATTCATTGACGAATATTTACTTGCGTATGATTCTTACATTTAACATCGATTGTTCGTAACCAAGGTTATTTTACTCCTCCGATCGCTTATATAAGATTGTGTAAGAGCACGTACGGCTTATTTACGCCGTTCATTTTATCGACCTTAGAGAGATGCAAAAGTGAAACGGCTTGCACAATATTGTTGATAAGACATTTTCGACTTATTTTAACTGGAAGGCATGTATAGACTGTCAGGATCATGTATAGATAGATACTTACACTTCCTAAATATGTACCTATGGTATTGAAAAATAGACAGTAGGTTTTTGTACATTTGAGAAATTACAAGATATAAACATCCACAAAATATAATTATGTAAAACTCTATAAAATAATCAGAATATATTCTAGTCTTTATAATATTTTTAGATAGACAGTGATATTTTGTGAATATGTATCTTGATGTGGCATTATACTGATTTATATATAAGTAATACTTTTGTATATTTATTAAAAATCTACAAAATATACATAATATACATAATATACTCTACATAATATTTAGCTGGAGAAACAGTTTTCTATCAAGGTCTTACCTTTCTAATTTTATTTATAAAAATATGAATTTGCATAAGTATCCACAGTACACTGACGTATTTGTTATGATATTGCAAAAGATAATTGTTTGATGTTGTATAACTATTATATAACCAAACCCATAGATATACTCGAGATTAAAGTTCTCATAAATAGAGAACGTGTTAATTAGGCGAATGCAGAATGAATATGCAAAAATTTTATTCATTAGTTTATTTTTTAAATTGTGTTAATTAATAACTGTATTACTTGTTAGTTAATTAATTTATTTATTAAAATCTACAAATAATGTAAATTATAGAAGTTTTTATTATAAATAATTTGTGACATATTTAAGCAAACCCTTTAATAAAGGATTTTAATTAATTCAAATTATTGAATTCCATTTAATTTATATTGTAATTACAAGAAGGATTACGAAGTAAAAAAGAAATTTGCTTACAATTAATAAAAAGTCATCGAATAACCATCTAAAAGAACAATTTTCTCTGATCAGGTGATTTACTGCAGAGGGTACAGCTTAGACATAGCGCGATGGAACGTTGCGAGAATATCAGTATCGCATCAATAAATAGTGTCTGCACGGAACCGGCTTATTCTACTGACGATTGCAACGTAAGTGAATTATAAGTAGCAGCATCACGCTGTACAAAAGATTACATATGCATATACATATATACTCATTTATTTTTTGTTTTTCGCACAAGAATGGTCTTTTCATGAATATACACGGTCGAAAGTATTTAATTACTGTTTTCTGTCCACAGGAAGAAGAAGTTGCTGGAAGTCCTATGTTGTGCCTTCAGCCAGATGATCGTAGATGGGCGTTAACAGGCGTTGGTAGTTGGCGAATAGCTTGCTCGAAAGTTGGTGTCGAAAGGCCACGATTATATGATAAAATTTCTTCTAATATTGCTTGGATAAAATCTACGATCGAATAAATATTTATCGAAAATATTTAACAAATCAGTATGAACTGACAGGGACTGAAATTGATATTACAATATATGTACTCTCGCTCAAAACTTTGGAACACGTTAAGGTTTCTTTAAATAGATAAATATTTTATATTAGTGTTGAGATTTTAATTAACCTTCTATAATTAAAATTTAATTATAATAATATATTTATTATTAATTATTTTGATATTATATAATTGAATATAATTATATAATAATTCATGGGAGAAAAAGATAAGATTGTAGCTTTAAAATGTGGTGTGAGAATTTATTAATAATAAGTTCTCAAGTTTACATTATAGAAGATTGATTATATTTAAAATTAGAATATTTCTCAGAAAAGTGTAAAGATTACTTTATTTAAAAAACTCCAAATTTTTGAGCGAAAGCGTACACACACGTGGCATAGAATTATCTCATCAAATTTTCCTATCGTATCCTAACAGACTGTAAAATACGTATTGTAAATTAACGCGTTACGACGTATATTCTGTTGGATAACATATACATATCTCGTGTCTACTGTATAGTTTTGTCAACAATTCGTTGTGTTTTATCCGTTATTCGTATAAATGTCTATATGTTACATCGTTGTAAAGAGAACTGTTTCAATTAAAATAGTAAGTAGTCGAAAAAATAAATAATGCGGGAAAATTTCTCCTCTCTCAGGTAGATTTGCATTCGTGGTTTTCGATCGCGATTATTATATAAGGCGACTGAAGCTCTGTCATGTATCCACAAAGGTGAATGTATGCGTAGTTGGTATGTAAGATTTCTACAGGGTGGTCCGACAAGAATCAGTAGCTTGAATTTCCCTGTTGTTTTTGGAGCTGTGAAAAACTTTGTTAAAAAAAATAAACGAAAAGAAGTGATGGTGAAATCTCCGAAATCCTTCCATTTACAAAACAATCATCATTACTATTATGATTTCCTCTGTACCGAATAACAGTTCTTTTATATCTTCGGAAACAACGGAGATATTGAAGATGTCAATTCTTATTGGATCATCCTATATATTTATCTGTCGTAGTGTCGCAAGGGAACTTGCGCATAGAGCCGCAAAGGTAGGAGTAGTGGAAGGTTTCAAATAGAGCCACTGAATAAATACTGTCCACTAGTATAATAGTCGTTGGTTCAGCGAGTATGTTACTACGACACGCGACCACATACTAATCAAAAACAATCAACCAGGTATCATCAGAAACATGGTAAGAAGAAATTATGATTGTACGTAAAATGATTCTTCCAACAAGTTTGCTTTTTAATAACTAGTAAACAACGTAACTGTATAACATTCTTTCCTTAAGATTTTAAGAGGTGTCAGGTTTCAACCAAGTTACGTGTAGGTGTCACGTTGCAATTTGATGCTTATTATTTTTGCTATAGAAAAATATGCAGTGAAAGAATATCTTAACAGAAGTGTATGGTAGATTCCAAGCATTTTTATATCGCGATTACATGTAAAATATGTGTGTTCTATATCAGATTCATTTAATGTAATTCATCTCTTTTGTGTCTTAAATTTTAAATCGATTTAATTATCGATTATTGTTACTATAATTAAGTACTTTGTGGAAATCTTTTGTTAAGACATCGAAAGAAGGATTAGGTCTATCGGACCTGGCGAAAATCGAAGAGGTGGTTGATCATCCGGTGGAGTTGTTCAGGATTTGGCACGATGACGCACGAAGATTCAACCCGAGGGCTCCAGTCGCCTGTTGCTTGGCTACTACTTCAAAGTTAGTATTGATCATTTACTGTAGAGAAACTTTTGAGATACCTTTTGTTTGTAAATAGATTTTTATGCAAATTTGTATCTTTAAGGATATAGAAGGTATAGAAACTATGAATTTTATTTAAATTTATATCTTTAAGAATGTAATTCAAAAAATACAACCTCAATGAAAAATTACTTTAAGTATAACATACAAACGTTATTATACTTTAGTTACCGTATATTTTTTCAAATTCATAGTTTAAAATTTCTTATAAATGAATAAGAATCCTGAATCTATTAATGTATTAATTTTGTATTACACACAGAAGTGTTAGGATATTTTCATAGATCACGGTCTCGAATACATTGTACATTTTCAATGAAAAATTTTTACTTCAGAGATTGTAAGGTGTCTGCCAGAAACGTTGTTCTTCGCGAATTCGATAAAGATGGTTTTGTAATCGTAACGGATAGTCGTAGCAAGAAAGTTGACAATTTAGTAAGTTTTTAAAGAAATTTTTGCATTGACGATTGCATTGTTTATTTATAGCGAATTTTTTTCATTGATTCAGTTTAATCGTTTCAGGAGAATGTCCCCTATGCTGCTATGTGTTTCCTTTGGTTCTATATAAACGAACAGGAGCAGGAGATCACAAAACAGGTAATCAATTTTGCGTCGTTGATTAGTAGACTTTTATGCATCTATGGAAATATAAAAAGTAAAAAATATGCACAATAGAATATGCAAAAATATATAAAATAGAATATTTATTGCAATATATATAGTCAATTAAACAAATTCTTATTTAGGTCTTATTTCTTTAGATATGTCCACGAAAATTTCCAAATGCAGTCTGACGATTACATTAAATTAGAAATTTGTGGAAAATTTTAGAATGTGCGTGACAGTGTATGTTACATAGAATACCCAAAGTAGCTCTATCTTTTGAAAAAATTTAATTTTTTAAAATACTCTTTCAATCGTCAGATATCAAAGAGTTCAATAGTAGGCTGAAAATCAGAGTCGTATAGGTCTGACCTATGATAAGATTTCTTTGCATCTTTATCAAGATACACATGTGTTTGCATTTTTATTTAGATATATACATATTTCTGCATTTTGTGAGACTAAACTTTGTTGTAAAATTACGAAATGATTCAGTTTCGACATCAAATAGTTAAAATACTTAATATCGACTTAAGAAGATTTTAAAGAAATAATATTTTTAAATAGTAATATGATTAATTATATCATTAAATATAAATCTATTAATATTTTAATATAATATTTATTGACACTTTTTGATAAAAGTTAAGTACAATAAGAAAAAGAAGCATATGTATATTGTAGGCTGATATGTAAATAAATGGAAATTGACGTTACACTTGACATTGACTTTATTTATCTGGAATATAATTTTGAGAATGTCGGGGATAATTACATCATGTATTATTAATTATTTTTTTAAATGAACTATATTATACTATGTATTAATAATTCTATCATATTATAATTTTAATTCATACGAAAATGAAAATATTCACGAATATTCGCAGTTTATTTATAGGAGTTGCGTTTGTAGGTGAAAATAGAAGGTATCATGAAGAAATTGGAAAAGGAAAGTTATAAGCATTTATATGACAGAGAGCCATTATTTTGTAAGATACGATCTCATGTATGTAATCAAGGACGTGATGTCAATTGGGAGGAGCTAAAGCAACGACATGACGAAGTATTAGATTCGATTCGTAAAGGAGAGAATGACTTACCAATGCCAGATCATTTGTAAGTCTAAGTATCATAAAAAACGTGAATTGATAATGAATATTGCATATTTAAATATTTTTTTCAGCGTTGGATACAAACTCTTTCCAACAATGATGGAATTTTACTTCGCGAGAGACTATCTTATAGGCGATCGTATTTTATATCAGAAAAATAAATCGAACGATTCCTGGGAGAATCATCACATAGCGGCATAATACATTAAATCTATGGTGACTATTATGATCTTTTTCTATTTTTTATAATAAGAATTTTTGGAAATATTACAAGGAAGTATTTGTAAAACCCTTTTATGTATATCCTGTCCTTTTGCAATTGATTTTAGCTGATTATCGAGTGATCGGAAGAGTTAAAATATATGAAGATCAGTTAGTTTAACTCGAAGATAAAGATATTTGTTCATCGAAAATTCTTCACATTCATTTCTTCACATTGCTGAAACTGAAGAAAGAATCCAAAACATTAGCAAACATATTCGCAAGACTATAAAGTGACGGACGGAAGAAAATTCAAAAAGTAAATAGAATTACATTTAACGAGAGCAATGAACATTTACAATATATATTCCAAAATAGAATATTGATAAAAAAATATATAATACAAAAGTTTCATACACACATATATACAATTTTGAACTTTCTATAATGTTCGTCACTATCTACACAATGAACGAAACGAAACCGAGCTAAAAAATCTCGAATAACACCGATACGCGTGCATTTTAAATTCAAATCCAATAAGGTGCCATAAAATGGCGCTTGTTCTGTTGCCGTTCTTCTGCATTCGCCACTAGAGGTCCATCACAATCGATGTGTCTTACACAAGTAGTTTGATCTCTGACCTGATTTCTATTCCAATATCTAAACCACAAATCTATTACATTGGCTTATCAACGAATTCATTAGCACACTCAGAATGAAACACTCGCCCTTTTCTTTTCTTCTGTCTTCACATAAACCCTTTCAATCGTTCCAAAAATAACACAGTGTTCCTCTGAAGTGGCGCCAATGTATCGAACCGGCATCGGTCATGTGACAATATGAGCAGAGAACTGTGCGCAAAAGAAGTAAATTGGGCGCCTATCACTAGTGATGGGTTCAAGTTCAATATGTACTCACGAAACGAAGTTACATCTGATACAAAAAGTTTACTTCGTACAATTCAATTGTCTCGTAATTAGGTTCGAGTATGTGCTCTTGATTTTATTTAAATATAGATATTTCAATTTTCTTGAATACGTACAAGAAATTCGAACATTCAAAAATCAAATTTTGGTCAAAATAACTACGAACCACCATAAAAAGTATAATATATGTTTTGCATATTAAGTATTATTAATTTCACATCCAAAATCTAACACTTGATTTTACGTTGTATTTCAAATTTAAATATTGTAGGTGCTTCTTTGCGAAACTATAATATTCGTTTGTTATATCGCTTGCTCGTTCAGCAGAGACATATAGTATACTTAATCCATGCTTGATCCCATCGCTATACGACTGGAACCGCGTTTTACTGTGGCGCTGTGACTGAAGCGATCCCTAAGGGGCACTAGCCATACTCCATTCCCGACTATAAAGCGTAGCATCTACTCATACTAAGACCAGTATTCACCGGGTCGAGAGCACGCTCGGTACTCCGTGAACTATTGAAAAAGATGCACGAGCGTGCGGCTGTCTTTGATCGTACATCTAAAATTGTTTATCTTTTGCTCGAAGATGGTTCTGTCTTTCCGGGAAGACATTTCGGCGCGGAGAAATCGGTCGATGGTGAAATTGGTGAGTGTACGAGCAACACGTGCTCGTCCATTGCGTTGCAGACGCACGTGCACAGTTCTTTCGATAATCGTTTCGACCGTCATCTCTCTTTCTTTCGTCGTATTTTAATGAAACTATTAATGGTCATTACTTTTTATTATTATGTGACTACGTTTTTACGCTTTGTCGGAAGAGATTGTACGCGTTATAAATATAAATGATTAAAGAACCACGTGGGAATATTACTATGTAACTGCTAACTTATCGTATAAGTAGTTTCCACGTGTCAGTTTTGAAAAAACATTGTGATGCTGCATTTCTAAAATTATTTTTACACGTGAAGAGAAATAATTTTATTTACATTTGCTACTACATTTATCTTTGTACTGGCTCCGAAAATTCAAATTTCATCTCGTTAGACTTTGACATTCGTTTCATATCGGAATAATTAAAAGGACTAATGCAATAAGCAGGCAGTTCCATTTTTTTGAATAACTTTAATAAATCAGTGAAAAAATAATACTTATTATTTGAAGTTAATTTTTTTTATACCAAGCGAAAGTCTAAAAAAGAAATATGTAAAAAGTGGAGCTGTCTTCTTCTCTCTACAATTTCTATGGTATATTTAAACTGATTTTATGAATTTTTATATTTCAAATATAAATATAATTTTATATTTTCCGTTCAAAATGAAAGAAAGACTGATTTCTAATAACGAGGTTTCTTCGCTGCTGGGAAAGTTGCGGAAGTAATGGCTAGATTTTAAACCGAATATTGTGTGCGTAACATTGTATACATATGTTCGCACTGATGCATTTTTTACAGTGTTCCAGACCGGTATGGTGGGTTACCCAGAGTCGCTCACAGATCCTTCTTACCATGCTCAAATTTTAGTATTGACATATCCGATAATTGGAAATTATGGAATATTCAACGATGAGGTGGACCAACATAAAATACCATAGTAAGAGACATTCTCTAAAAAAAAAAAAAAAAAAAAAAAAAAAACATAATGTATTGGCTAGAACAGCGTTTTCTAATCTGTGATAAAAACCGCAGAAGTCTTCATATATGCAAAAAAGTGACTGAGAGATTGGGCATATTTTATTTAGAATGAAATAAAAAATAATAAATTATTTCAATTAATTTATTATTACTATTTCAAAGATAACGTAAACAATTATTTAATGTGAGATTCAATAAAATAATTTCCAAATAATTTCTTATTTGAATTAATTCGGTCATTCGAATGAAATAAAAAATAAAATTTGACGTAAGATTATGTACCGAAATCTGTGTTTGCAACGTAGTTGGCAATGTTGATACGCACTTGAGAAATTATTAGAATAAAAATCTAATACAAATACAAAATAAAAATTGATAGACTAATAATGAAATAATCTAAAGAAAAATCGTTTTCATGTTCAAATAAACTAACATTGCATAGTTATTTCAAATAATTCCTAGGTAAATAAGATAATTCAACATATTAAGTTGAATTGAACATCTTTAAAATATTATTTAATTGATGTCCAAGCCTCGGAAAAAAATGTCTTGGAATTTAATACAAAAGATTAAAGAATGCTGTGCTAGAAGAAGCAATTACATTTTAACGGGTTATTCCTTAAAAATCTGTTTACATACCATGGCTATCTTGAATTTTTTTTCTATACTCTTGTTTGCGACTAGTATCTCTCTCTGTAGTAATGGATAAAATTTCGCGGAGATGATAAGAAAGTTGCGATCGGTAACGTCAGTAACATCTTTCCATTTGCAGTTGGTTCGAATCGCATCGAATTTGGACGGCTGCTCTGGTGGTCGGTGAAATTTGCGAAACCCCGAGCCACTGGCGGCAATCCAGAACGCTGTCCAGTTGGATGAAGAAACAAAACATTCCAGGCATATACGAGATCGATACCAGAGCTCTGACAAAAATCATTCGCGAGAAAGGCACGATATTAGGCAGGATCGTGTACGATCGGCCGATTTCTAATCCCGTTTCATCGCTGATCCCTCCGATAGCCGATCCGAACAAGAGAAATCTGGTTGCGGAAGTGGTTCAGGTGCGTAACGACCAACTACTAACATCCAGAGTTGGATGAAAAAGTAAACTTAGTGATTGAAGACTTGATTAGTGATTCAAGACTGTGATTATTAATCATGATTGCTGGTTATTTAATAATTGAATGAATAATTATACGATGAAAGTGATTCATGTAACATGATGTTCATGTCTGAACATTGTTCATGTTCATTATATTATGCTGTAGTGTATTACTTATATAGCTACTAGATATATTATATCAGTTATTCCACTTCTTTGAACATCGTCTATGATGCAATATACATATATCACAGTTATAGCTATTATAATGCATTAGTTTAGTTTAATTTATTGGCACATATTATAATCATAGTGTGGTTCGGTATACATTAAAATATTAATAAATACTGTATTGCACTATTATAGTACATTAATTATTATATTATAATATAGTATGATACTACTGTTATGTAATATAATATTGTAATACCATATTATATTACTTCATTGATTATATTCAATAGATACAAATTTTTTCTACAAACTGTATCGCGATTTAAATGCCACTCTTTCATTCACCATTGATTATCGATCATTGAATTTCAGCCTACACAAAGAACGTACAATTCCGCTGGTTATCCCCGCATATGTGTAATAGACTGCGGTCTAAAGTACAATCAATTGAGGTGCTTGATAAGTCGAGGTGCTCGCGTGGACGTCGTGCCTTGGAATTACGATTTAAGCAAAGCCACTTACGATGGCCTGTTCCTCAGCAATGGACCAGGCGATCCGAGCATGTGCAAAACCACGGTGGAAAGTATTCGATCCATTCTGAAATCGAAAACGCAGAAGCCGATTTTCGGTATCTGTTTGGGACATCAGTTGCTCTGCATTGCCGCTGGTTGCATCACATACAAGATGAAGTACGTATGTACGTCCTAATCGCATGAATAAGCAAATAGAACTCAATGTTAGAACTTCAATGTTTAGAAACATACAAGGTGTACCAATACGTATATGATGCTTTTCTTTCCTTTATGTGATATAAAAACATACTACATGTTTCTAAAAAACTGTTCGTTTTATGTTTGTTATGTGTAATATAAAAACATACTACATGTTTCCAAAAAACTGTTCGTTTTATGTTTGTTACGTGTAATATAAAAACATACTACATGTTTCTAAAAAACTGTTCGTATTTTGTAAAAAATTAATGTCGTTAAACAATTTTCCATTCATGTCCCATTTTAAATTACAGTTCCAAAAGTATGAACTGGCGAAAAAATGATGTTTCTCTCTCAAATCACGTACTCTTCCAATAAAATGCAAATGAATTTATTACTCAATCTAGTAGCTCGGTTTTACGAAGAAAACGTTTGTTGCATACAGCTACGGAAACCGTGGTCATAATCAACCGGTCACGCATCACGGAACCAGTCGTTGTTACATGACCTCGCAGAACCACGGATTCGCGGTCGATGCGAAACAATTACCAACTGATTGGGAACCGCTCTTCACGAATACGAACGACAACAGCAACGAAGGTGTCGTGCATTCGACACTTCCTTATTTTTCGGTTCAATTTCACCCGGAACACACTGCTGGCCCTCAAGATCTTGAATGCTTGTTCGACGTGTTCCTAGAAGTGGTGGTCGACACAGCAAAAGGAGAAAAATCAGTCTCCGTGAAGGAAAGACTGAATAGAAAATTAAACTTCGTGGAGGATATGATGCTGGATTTGTCTGTGCGACCGAAGAAAGTGTTGATTTTGGGATCCGGTGGTCTCAGTATCGGTCAGGCGGGTGAATTCGACTATTCAGGATCGCAAGCGATCAAGGCGTTGCGCGAAGAATGCGTGCAAACGTTGCTGATCAATCCAAATATTGCGACTGTGCAAACATCGAAAGGCATGGCCGATAAGGTCTACTTTCTGCCGATTATTCCGGAATATGTGGAACAGGTATATTGATATTTGTATTATAGAAGAATTTTAAAGGAGACTTTATAGAAATAACAATTGCTGTCATACAAATTATATTAATTATATTATAGAAAAGGACTTTATAGAAAAATTGGTATTTGTATTGGACTCGTTTTTATTTTTTGACAAATTTTAGTCAATTTGTAGAAAAGATGCTTTACTATAGTGTATAATTGTTATATTATATAATACACTTTGGGCGAGATATCTTACAATGTGACATTTTAAATGGAATCTCGTATATCTTCTCATGAAAACTTGAGATATGTCGTCCGAGTAAAACTTGAATCGGATAAAAGCTAATCCCTCGCTTTACAATCTAACTTCGAGATTTTGAACCGAAATATATCATTTAATTCTATTTAACGTAAAATGAAGTAAATTTTATTGATTTAATATATCAATGTATTGATATAAAATTGCTAATTGCTGATTGTTGAATAATATAATAAATTTAATAATAATAATGAATTTCTTGTAATAAAAATTTCAGGTGATACAATCAGAGCGACCCGATGGTGTTCTCTTAACATTCGGTGGGCAGACTGCTCTCAATTGTGGTGTCGAGCTCGAAAAAAACGGAATATTCAAGAAGTACAATATCAAAATTCTTGGAACTCCTATACAATCAATTATAGAGACAGAAGATAGAAAGGTCTTTGCAGAACGCATCGCAGAGATCAATGAAAAAGTTGCCCCAAGTGCGGCGGTGTACTCTATTCAAGAGGTAAGAAAATCGAAAAGAGATTAATTTAGATATTCCTTTAAATTAAAAAATTGAAAAAAAAGATATATTTCATATTTAGAAATATAGTTATTCATCATCATGTCATGTGTAAATGAGTGCAAATTCATATTTTTGCAAAAATAGTAGAACCTAAGCAAAAATAGTGTTATATATTATATTTTTGTGTATTTTTTCACTTTTAAATTTCTCATAAATGTATAATCTACGATCGAGTCACGTGTTTCCTGGTAATTTCAAAGTATTTTAATTATTTAATTATAAACGTTTATTATGTCAGGCATTAGACGCAGCCGAGACATTGGGCTATCCAGTGATGGCCAGAGCAGCCTTTTCTCTCGGAGGATTGGGCTCTGGTTTCGCGAACTCCATGGAAGAGCTACGAAACCTCGCGCAGCAAGCGTTCGCTCATTCAAACCAATTAATCATCGACAAATCGTTAAAAGGCTGGAAAGAAGTGGAATACGAAGTCGTTCGCGATGCCTACGACAATTGTATCACCGTTTGCAACATGGAGAACGTGGATCCTCTTGGTATTCATACAGGAGAGTCTATCGTCGTCGCTCCAAGTCAAACACTGTCCAACAAGGAATATAATATGCTTCGTACCACCGCTATTAACGTGATTAGACACTTTGGAATTGTTGGCGAGTGCAACATTCAATACGCGCTCAATCCAAACACCGAGGAGTATTATATAATCGAAGTGAATGCGAGATTATCTCGTAGCTCCGCATTAGCGAGTAAAGCGACTGGCTATCCGTTGGCTTATGTGGCCGCCAAATTGGCTCTTGGTATTCCTTTACCGCACATTCATAATTCCGTTACGGGAAAAACCACGGCTTGTTTCGAGCCCAGTCTCGATTATTGCGTAGTTAAAATACCGAGATGGGATTTGAGCAAATTTCATCGTGTCAGCACAAAGGTATATGTACACATAGACCATCGGCCAAAAGTTTGGAGCATTTGTTGAAACTATGTTGCTTTGATGAAACCATACGTTTTAGGCAAATGAGATTGTGTTATTAATCCATTAAGACAATATTAACGCAACATTTCCAATTTTCTTTTTTTTTTTTTCAATAAAATTTATACTGTTCGATTCATTTAATTTATTCGGTCAAAAAGATTCAATTAATATTTTCTTCGTTTTTATATAGATTCTATAATAATTTTATGAAGCGTGAAGATACTGATACTTATTTATAAAGTATTACTATTTAAATTATATTAAGATTAGAACAGCACAGGATTTATGTGTCTGTTTATTTTCTGGATGTCGATGAGTGCTCCTAATTTTTGGACATACAAACTAGTTTCAGAATCTCTTTAATTTAATCTCAACATCCACAGTTAATAGGAGATTATTCGTTAATCGTAATTGTCGAAACATAACAAGAATATCGAGCTATTAACAGAATTGCATTAGATGTCCAATTATTTATGCACAGTAGAGTACATAGTTGATCATAAACGATAAGTGTCTATCGATTTTAGATTGGCAGTTCAATGAAAAGCGTGGGAGAGGTGATGGCGATCGGTCGGAAATTCGAGGAAGCTTTTCAGAAAGCTTTGAGGATGGTTGACGAGAATATCAATGGTTTCGATCCGTACGTGAAATCTCCGAACGACGAAGAACTAGAGAAACCTACCGACAAGAGAATGTTCGTCCTTGCAGCATCCATAAAAGCTGGATATACCATCGATCGATTGTACGATCTCACGAAAATTGATAGATGGTTCCTACACAAGATGAAAAATATCATCGACTATTATTTAGTATTGGAAAACACAGATCATACGAAACTGTCACACGAAGTTTTATTACGAGCGAAGCAAATTGGATTTTCTGACAAGCAAATTGCGGCCGTGGTTAAAAGTTCGGAATTAGCTGTTAGAATACAAAGACAGGAGAATAATATACGACCGATGGTGAAACAAATAGACACGGTTGCTGCGGAATGGCCGGCTACGACAAATTATCTTTATTTGACGTATAATGGTACTACACACGATGTTGAATTCCCTGGCGGATATACGATGGTTATAGGTAAGTAATAAACAAAATTGATTGGATGTTATCTAGTACTTGAACTCCCAACACACGAGTTCCGTGATCTCCAAGAGGGTTGTGAGAGCAGTTACTTTTAATTTTTTAGTACTTACAGTGAAGAGCATAACTTGATAGTGAAAAATTGTCGATAAACTAATACTCGAAAAATTGTCGATAAAACTCTGTAAAAAAAGATTACATGACGAGCCATTTACTCCTATTAAAGCGTATTATAGCGTAAGGCTTCTACTTTGACAGTAGTTCTTAAAGTATCTTCTTTTCGAAGATTATTTTACTTTACGTGAGAAAGTAAAAATAATATTTTTGTCGAAAATTGTGACAATTCAAACGCACGTAAAAACATTAAAAAATTTTTTTCACAAACTTCAGTGTGATCATGGAAATTGAAATTTTCTTTTTCAGTTCCACGAGCACTTGTAAAATTTATTGTACGTTTTTTTTTTAATCATTTTATTAAAATTGAAGTTCAAGTTAATTTGTCTACATTTTAACATTGTTCTTTTAGGCTCTGGAGTTTATCGAATCGGTAGTTCGGTAGAATTTGACTGGTGTGCTGTCAGTTGCTTGCGGGAATTACGAAACTTAGGAAGAAAAACGATCATGGTGAACTACAATCCGGAAACAGTTAGCACTGACTACGATATGAGCGATCGATTGTACTTTGAAGAGATATCGTTCGAAGTCGTAATGGATATTTACGATCACGAATGTCCGGAAGGAATAATTTTATCGATGGGAGGTCAGCTTCCAAATAATATTGCTATGGACCTTCATAGGCAACAAGCTAGAATTCTTGGAACTTCACCGGAATCTGTCGATGGAGCTGAAAATCGTTTTAAATTCTCTCGTATGCTGGATGGCATTGGAATTTCACAACCTAGGTACATTATTAACAAGTAAATCGAAAAGGAAAAAAAATAACACTTAAAATATTGACTTTATTTTCCAGAAAAATTGCTATATATTTGAATTTAACTAATTTCAGATGAAAAAAATTTATTTTTCCTTCTGAACATATTTTGAAATTATTCTTTGACTGAATATCACATCTTTAACATTGCTTACATATTCAAACATTAAACTGAATATTCAATTATTATTTTAATGTAACTATAATGTTTATCTAGATGGAAGGAGTTAACTAATTTAAAATCTGCCATCGAGTTTTGCGAGGAAGTCGGTTACCCTTGTTTAGTGCGTCCTTCTTACGTATTAAGTGGTGCTGCAATGAACGTGGCTCATTCGAACCACGATCTCGAATCGTATTTAAAAAGCGCCAGTGAAGTGAACAAAGAGCATCCAGTAGTTATATCGAAGTTTATTCTCGAAGCGAAGGAGATTGACGTCGACGCAGTTGCGTATGATGGAATTATCCTTTGCATGGCAGTATCAGAACACGTGGAGAATGCTGGCGTTCATTCGGGTGACGCTACTCTGGTCACACCACCACAAGATATCAACGCGGAAACGCTGACGAAGATTAAAATGATGTCCAAGGCTATTGCTGCGTCTCTTGGTGTCACTGGTCCTTTCAATATGCAACTTATCGCAAAGGTAACATTTTTTATTAATAGTTTCTAAATTTCAATGTAAAATATTTGACAGTGATAAATTGATAACTAAATTGTTATTGCTGATATAAGTATTAGGATTTACATGTTTATATTTATATTTTTATATCTATATTTATATTTGGATTTACATTTCCTTTTTTTCACGGCAGACTTTATTCGTTTTCCAAGATATTTTCTTCTTTATCCTATATTTTATATTCATGACTTAAAATTATTAGAAAGTGACTATTATTTTGCTCTAATTTAAGGATACGTTCATAGAAATTTTGATAAATAAATAATAAATGGTATTTTCCACAAATTTTATTTTAGGACAATGAGCTAAAAGTCATCGAGTGCAACGTCCGGGTGTCGAGATCTTTCCCGTTCGTGTCGAAAACTCTGGATCATAATTTCGTGGCTATGGCCACGCGATTGATCGTAGGAGAGACTGTAGATCCAGTAGACGTACTTGCCGGATGCGGCAAAGTCGGTATTAAAGTACCACAATTCTCTTTTTCGCGTCTTGCTGGTAAGTACACCACGCTCCAAAAATATCTAAAATTCAAACTTAAAATATTTCTCAATGCCATCATAAAATAGTACTTTATTCACTTCTTCAGTAATTATTTCTTTTAAAACCCTAACGTGGTTCCAAAGCTTTCAACGAGACTGCACGCCAGAAATATCTAATTAAAATCGAAACATTATGTACAGGAGCCGATGTAATGTTGGGTGTAGAGATGGTATCTACTGGGGAGGTGGCTTGTTTCGGAGACAATCGGTACGAAGCTTACTTGAAAGGAATGATAAGCACCGGCTTTCATATACCGCAGAAAGGCATCCTGCTTTCAATTGGAAGTTTTAAGGTATTGTCTCAATCATATCGAGACTTAATTGTATCAACGATTCATACAATATTCTGAGAGTTGACATTTCTTAATTACAGCACAAAATGGAACTGTTACCCTCTATCCGTAGTCTTCACAAGATGGGATATAAATTATACGCCAGCATGGGGACAGCAGATTTCTATACAGAGCACGGAGTGGAGGTAAGCGTATTCTCTTTTAGAAATTTAAATCATATATTTAAATATTTACAATTACAATTTGAAGTTCGGACAAGTTAACATCAAGTATTAATTTAATATTTTCGTTACAATTAATGCATCGTTTTAATTATCTATATTTTAATATTGTTAATACTGTTGCGTTTCGACGATATGAGTTAAAAAGAGAGAGAAAGTGATGGACGACTTGAAAAGTGGAATATCTATATATTTCTATTACGAGAGAAATTTTAATTGATGAGTAATTAACACTTTTACTACTACCGATTTTATGAAATTTAATACTTTAATATTTTTCTCCGTCGTTGAATATTTTTAATGAATTTTTAATGAATTTATGCAAAGATTTTTATACTTCTACATATAAAACTATGTAACCTATCTAAAGTCATAGGAATATTATTTGTAGCAATTAATAATAAAGTTTCGATATTTTTATTATAAATTCTCCTAATATTGAATATACATAATCTACAGAAATTTTCTTCTTTTTTTATGTGGTTGATAATTGATAATTTATAAATTCAAATTTCGAAGAAAAATCTCGTACGTAGCTAATATGTAGTATACTCTATATAACTAGACTTATATACGTTGTAATATAGTAGTATACTATATAAAGTACTCTTTATATCTATGTATATATTGTAAAAAATATCTGGGATACTTTATACAAACTATCTGTTCTCCAGTCATTAGTTCAGATAAACGGAGCTCAAACGGAGAGTTCAATTCCTCTATACGTCTAATAATCGCGTCTAATATTTCTTAACAGTAAGTATAAATAAATTACAGTATAATAAATTAAAACAGATTACATGCTAAATTTTGAGAAATTTATTAGACAACGAAGGAGTCACTCGTTTCTAAATATACGTGGATTCGTTCCCTACAGATTCTGACAAATGAATAACTGGTGTCACTGGTCGATAGTCATCGCTATTCTCGCTCGTCGAATTAGCCGCATTGTTGCTCGCTACGTCCAAATTTAATTTCTCTACATCCTCGTAGTGTCTCTCGTGAACGATCGCTTTAACATTTTTCCTGTCGTCAGTCCTCTTCTCCGGCAGATCCTCGTTCGACTTCGGAATTCTCGCGTGAACTCGACTCGACGAATTCTTCTCACGCGTGAAACGATCGTTTAGAGGGGCAACGTATATAGCGTTCTCCGGGTTCCTATCCGGCGTTTTCGGCGGATCGTCCCTTGATTTCAAAGTGGTTGCCACCTTCTTCCTGATGACCTTGATCTTGTCGCGATATGCCCGAGCATCCTCCGTGTATCTCTGTCGCTCGAAAAGTAGTATGGACAGTCTGTCCGCGTGATCCAGGTAAATCTTTTTTTGCCGATGCGCCTGATACTGGTTACATCGTTCGGCTATTTGTATGAAGTGTTGTATGAAGAAGCCGAGGAGAACGCATAACCTTGGCCCCTCCAACTCGGCGCAACGTGTCTGCAAAGAGAATAGAGGTAGTTTCTAATTCGTAGATCGTAGTCTATCATAGATCACAGATACGTGTAGATAAGATTAAACATTTCCAAAAGTGCAAATAAGTTCATTTGACTGTGCTTTTTTTCGTCGAATGTTAAATGAAATGAATAAATCGTTCGAGATCTAGATTTCTTTACAAGAATTTGACTTTACAAGAATTTGGAATTAGAGTGGTCTTTGAACGCGTTGTATCGTCCTCAAAACGCAATGCGTCACTTGATGACGAACGTTTCAGATAGACGCTTCTAAAGAACGGCTTATCAGAAACTAAAGCTTACCGAGATTTCGATGATAGAGTCGCTGGCCTTACGAGGATTGATTAACGAAACCGATTGGACGGAATGTTTGTTTCGCTGTCTCTTCACCGTGTCCCAAAATCCTGTCCTGTTATATCTCGCATCCAGTGAGACACGATCACCGTACGATTGATTCATCGACGGATTCTGTACATGCTGCGTCAGTTTCGGATTAATCAACGTCAACGTGTCAGCGGTCAGTATCTTCAGCAGCATCTTGTAGTCCAATCGCGGGAATAGGTCGTCGTTGTACCGGATATTCTCCATGGCATGGAACACGTACATCACAGGGTTTTCAGTGATACGTTTCAACTGCTTCTGTGTGTGCAACAGATGTTCACAGGGTATCCTCTGGAAGAGATTCCTGTCCTTGATGAAGTAGTCGTCGAGCCTTGGCTCGTTCTGGCTTATATTGTGATACAGAGAGTACAGCAGCTTCAGCAAACACTCCCCTATTCCACTGTCTGGCCATTTAGACGGATTGGCGTTCTCCTCGATCATCCAGAACAACTTGTGCCTGATGTGCGCTGTAGTTAAGCCGAACATAGTGTCAAAAATCGGCCTCATGAAGGTCTTGTGCAGCATTAGGGTAATCATGTACACTTGGACCTGAGCCTGTGTCAAACAAGTCTCGAGGTATCGTTCAGCCGTCGGGAACACGAGCTGCCACTCGAGGTCCTCAATGAGATTGCTGTTACCGTTCTTCGGGACGAAACCTTCCGGCACCACGTAGCACCCGTAATCCTTCACCTTATCTACGTCGTTGTAGTCAGGCCAGGTACCCCGAGCTCTGTCCAACCACTCTTGGGCGCACATAGGCCACTCCAACCAAATGGCGGGAATAATTTCGTACTGTTCCACTCGACTTTGCATCAGAGCGTTATTCACCATGATCTTGTCGCAATAGAGCACGCATCCTTCCCGCTTCACGTCGTCCACGGCCTCTCGATCGAAACTCAGCGACTCGCCCAATCGCTGTTGGAACACTCTTTTGAAGTGTTTCATGAACTCGGTACTACTCACGTAGAACAGGTCGTAGTTGTGTCGTCTCAAAGCCACTTTGATTCTTCGATGTTTGCTGTTCAACAGATACATCTTGTCCTCGTTCGGATCGTAGATCTTTCCGTCGGATGTGTACGTCACTTTTTTGAAACAACGAATGGGAAACTCTCCGTTCGTTATCCAACATTCGTCCAGTTCTTCGAAGCTAGAGCTGTGAGAGAATCTGGAGTTATGGCTAGTATTGTAACTGCTGTCGCTGCTATACGCGTAATTGTCCGATCGGTAGCCAGAACTGTTGCTGCTCGTGTGATCTTGATTATTTAATCCTTGGATCTTTGATCGAGGCGTTTGCTTCTCCCATCGACGATTCCCTCGGTTGGATAATTCCTCTTTAGACTGGGCCCTCTTGTTCAAACGTCTTCTCTCTTCGGACGAGGATTCGTAGTCAGGCTCAGCCGTTTTGCTGTTACGATTTGAGTGTGGAAAGCTTCTGTTCGTGGACACGCTCTCTTCGTCGCATAAATTTGGCAGGGATTTCGTCAGTTTGGATTTGGAAGACTTCAACATCGTTTGCTTAGATCTGTTTTGCATGACCGTAGAGGCAGATAGGTTGGATCGAGGTCTTGGACCATAGACACTACCATCGCTGTAGAGTTCGTCGTCGTTTTCCGCGATCGATGATAGATCTACGTCGTCTTCTCTTATGGTTTTTCTGGATGTTACAAAATCGTCGAGGACCTGGAGCTGCACATATCCTATGATAACAAACTCAATTTATCATTCTTCCTATTTTCAGAAATGTTGTATATCATGAATACGATCCTTCTTGCAGTATATTTAATAGATATTTACTGTTCCGAATTATATTACTTTCCTCATAAATGAACAAAATATCGAAATGAGATGTTTTTTGTGGATTTGAACATTCATCACCTACCTTGATGCGCCGTTGGCTTCAACAATATATTATAGACGGTCGAGTCATTCACGTTGCTGTAATGTGATGAATAATTTTGTTCGGTGATGTCGATATTGTCGTGAACCGTGTAAATTCGAACCGGTTGCAAAGGCTCGATGATCGTCTGTCGAAAGGTTTGTCTCGTTGACGTGAAACCAACATGTCGAGCGATATGCTCTTGAAGAACATCCGGAAGTAGGACGTGCTTCTGCGGCGGCAAACGCTTGTTCAGTTCTGTTTCGCGTGACGACACAAGCGTCTCCTTTACATGCTTGATTTCTCTGAAATACAATCACTATGTAGGTTTTATTTCCTGCTGGAATCAGTGATAAAATCGCGTTATCGAAGACAATGAATGTTATCGAAGCTGTTCTAAACCTGTCATCATTACAAGAATAAACTTGCTTGCTTGTTCGATCATTCGGAACATATTCTTTTTTTTTTTTTGGCAGCTGATGCTATCGTTTATCAATATACGGACATTTTTCAGATTGTTATAAATATATTTTAAATAAAATTGAAGGATGAAGATTATTTAATATTATATTTATTATATTTATTATATAATTCTTCTAAAAGAAAAAATTTTAATTTTCAGTCGTAATATAAATTATTTCTTATAATTCCATCGTGTTGCAAATCTAACTTAGGATTATTATCGCATATGTAGGTAGTAAATATTGTTCTATTTAATAGTAATTTATAAAGCAAGAAAGAATCAAAGATAATTAGATGAAAATTTATTTTACGCAGCAAGCAAATTTGTGAATGAATGATGAACGAGTGAATGATTGTTGAAGTTTCACATGATCGGCATATGTGTACCTAACCACATGTTGAAAGATTATACCAATTTCCTGAATTGTTAGCCATTCTTTATATATATCACATTGAAGTATATTTCTTCTTTAATGTTTAACAATATACTTTCAAATTTTTGTCATCGTCATTTCATCAATAAAAACAATTTTTTTAATTTGTATAAAAATGCCTTGTATCACAGTCATAATATATTCATAAAATGTAACATTCAATATTTTAAATAAACATTATATAAATTTATATAAAATTTTAAATAAATATTTATAAATTTATATATTTAAATATTAATAAAAATATTAACCTTCAAGTTGTTACAATTACTGTATGTATCTATGAATGTTCAAATATTTAAGAAACAAAGTGTCGTACCTCTTAATATCAATCTGTGAATTTAATTTAACATCAAATGAAAATGCTCACAAATGAAAACATACAATGTAATGTAAAACGGGTGTGAAGGAAAACGATATCTTACTCTTCATAATTTCCAAAAAACTGGACACACATCATAAGATTGTTCAACACGAACATCTCGGGATTCCTTTCCATAGATCTTCTCAAAAACACCAATTCCGCATCGTTGCACTCCTCCTTGCGATTAGGCATTTCGAATTTGTTGCCGTAGCCGTTGCTTTTCTCCGCCTTCTTCCGCGACGTTGGTTTCATCTTCGACTTAGAGTTCCCCATTTTTTTTTTCTTTTTTTATCGATTTCACAGAGACCGATCACTTTTTAAAAAGTAGATTTTAAGAGAACTCCTGATCCTTTCGTCCCTTGATCCTGCGTCAGAATTTTATTCGATCATGACGCGCGTGTAAACGCGCAAAGAACACGTATTCACTCATCGACGAGACAATAATTCACTCGCCAAGTACCACTGCCGATAAATACTTACCTATCGTTATCGAGCAATAGGCAGCTGAACGGTTTAATCGGTGCTCGCTATCGGCTATCGACAATAAAGCTGGCTCTTAGCGCGTGGTACGATAGGAGAATCATTTTTTTTTCTCTTTCTCTCTAAGAATTGAGAATTAATCAGAGAGGAGAATATGAAAAATAAATACACGCGTCTCGTGATCTTAAAAGGTTTGAATTCTCTTCTAGTAGATATAAGGTATTATCTAAAAGCTGAGCAGATCCGAAGTGGAAGGTTTATCAGTTCTTCCCCTACCATCTTTGTTTCACCTCGATCTATTGAAAATATTTAATCACTGTGTCGTAATAGTCTGTAGAAAAATAAGAGGAACTTGAAATGTTTAAGGTCTCTTGAAAAATGGGTAAATGATAGATAATGAGAATATGGAGATCTTTAATACACGTGACGATCTTGATATATTTTTCGACATTTTTATTTTTTAAATACTTTACTACAAGTTTGTTTTATGTTTATACACATCTTGTGATATATTTATGATAGTATAATTTATATCATTTAATACCTATTAAATATTCTTTAATATTTTTATTTTCTAGTCATTTTAGCATTTTGTTGTATTACAAGGTAGTATCGTGTGTGTTTTATAATGTAAAATATTATTAATATAATTATATCATGTAAAGTATTAATATAAATATATAATATAAAATACCAGATATAGTTGTGACACAGATTCATTTTGTTTTTATCACTCAAAGTTTGGAGCATCATTTGAAATAAATGTTTTCGTACATCTAACCCTCAACATTTTTCTATATTTCAATTTTATTCTCACAATCAATTTATCAAACAGGAATAATTTATAATATTTTAAGAAGATATATATTCATATTGTGCATAATCGTCTCTCATTATAGAGTTAATGGAATTTCAAAATGTTTCATATAACACACAAAATACATACATACAAACTCTTTTATATATTATGTTGTAATAAATGTTATTTGCATGTATTTTATCATAGTAAATGTTCGAATATTTTCGTTGGTCAAGTGATCAATTATTTCAAAATGCGAGACACTTGCCGCAGAGATCGTGAAACTTTATTAGCAAAGGATTGCAATTAGAATAGCGTAAAAATGAGCAAGTTTTATTACAGATCGACATAGCTGATAAGAATTATTCTAGGAAGAAAGTTGATTTATCTTATCTTAAGGTCGAACAAAATACCAATCGCAAGTGAATTCTGATGTATCGTATAGAAAATATTTGTAAATTTTTAGCATTGGACATATATATATATATATATATATATACGTTTTCCAAATTCGTATCGAAAATATTTGTAAATTTTTAGCATTGGATATATATATATCTATATATATATATATGTACGTTTTCCAAATTCTTCATATAGTGTATATCATATTTCCGTAAAATAAAATTTCTGTAAAATAATGGTCGTTTATCATCATTTCGATAGATCGTGCGAATGAAAATAAAACGAAAAATATTCGACTGAACGAATGAACTAATGATAATAATGTTTTAATTGCAGGTGGAATCTGTGCAGTGGACCTTTGAGAACATCACTGTCAATGAAGATTCCAGCCCGAGTGAACTTCGACATTTGGCTGACTTCCTTTCGAAGAAACAGTTCGATCTCGTTATTAATCTACCGATGAGAAACGGCGGGGTGCGTCGTGTTTCCAACTTCATGACACATGGATACAGGACGAGAAGGCTTGCTGTTGACTACTCTGTTCCTTTAATTACGGATGTCAAGTGCGCGAAATTACTCGTTGAAGTAAGTACGATGTTCTTTAATATCCTTCTCTTGGATGAATATTTGCAAGGAAAGAAATAGGATTTAAATAGGAATTTATTTTGCCTACCTTTATGCAAATTCATATTTTTCAAAATATAATTTGCAAAGTATTATATTTTGAATATTCTATATATTTATATATTATCATATTATTTTGTGTAATTTTTATATTTTGAAATTACCTTCTTATAAATGCATAATTATGATTATTTTATTTCATAAAGTCTTGTGCTAGTGAAATTTCAAAATTTCTCGTATAATATTACACATGTTCGTAATGTACATATTTGTAGAAAGTCTAAACATTCAAATATTTTCGCTCTGTAATCACTTTGTTATCTGCAATCTTCTGAAAATATTTGCACATTTATTTATCTCTGTGTGTAATTCGGCCTTAAAATTTTTCGTTGAAGGATTTGCGATAATTTTATTTTTTATTATGCCTTCTATACCTATTACACCTTTTATATTTGTAAAATATCTAATAAAACATCACGACGATAAAATTAATTTAATCTAATATCAAAATCGATGTTTATAATTGTCGAAAACTCGAAAATTACTACGATGTTTAAAAAGTTTTTTTGTTTTCAAGTAGTTTAATCTCTAATGTTTAATTTCTCTAATCAAATATTTGAAAATACTGTTTTTCATTAGCACAAATATATATATATATATATATATATTTTTTTTTTTTTTTTTTTATTTTATTTAGTATTCTATACTACGATAAAACTTAGTCATTTTTATTAGGTAAAATATAAAATATTAAACAAACAAGAATACTCTAAAAATAAATATTCCAATCCAATAGAAAAAAATCTATCTATCATCCGAAACTTTTACATGAGTATCCACAATCGAGTTGATGCATATTTATTACAGATATTAATTACATTCATTAAATCTAACAAATTAAATATTCTTTAAATTCAATTAAAAAATAACATTTGTGTTAATTCAAAAATACATATTTTGCTTTTATAAATGAAATACTTTTTACAAATAACTAATTCAACGATATCGCTCAAAATTACTCACAATTACATCGTTGTCATAAAAATATTCGCAATTCGATTAACACGAATTCATAAAAATATCCGAATACTTATGAACGATTTATGCAACAACTGATGAAAAACAGTGAAACGGTTGATACGATTATCGAGAACTGATGTAACGACGAATGTTGCTTCTCTTACGCAGGCTATGAGATTGCTCGGCAGACGTGCACCTCGTATGAAGACTCATACAGATTGTATGTCATCGCGAACGATGATTAAGCTTCCTGGTTTAATCGATATTCACGTACACACACGTGATCCTGGCAGTATCTACAAAGAAGATTTCGCTTCTTGTACCGCTGCTGCTCTCGCTGGCGGTATCACGATGATTTTCGCGATGCCCAACACAAATCCTGCAGTCGTCGATCATCAATCTTTCGCCTTGGCCAAAGAAGTAAGAAATCAGCGTCTATTTTCTTTTCGTGTCAATTTCTTAAAGCCCAATATTGTGTTGCGCGAATGTAATATCATGTAGCTGGATTTTATTTCCTATTATTAATACTAGAACTATCAACTACTTCAACTTTTTTATTTTACAGCGAGCGGTTTTGAATGCCAGATGCGATTATGCAATTTACATTGGCGCCTCGTCGGATAATTATAATATAACACCCGAGTTAGCTCCATTGGCAGCAGGTCTCAAAATGTATCTCAACGAGACGTTTACGACGCTTCGATTAACCGACCTTACCGTGTGGATTAAAGTGAGTATGTCTGTGGTCCTTGAATCGGTACCCTAAGGAAAATAATACTACATGTGTTCTCCAGATAAGATTTACAGATACGGTTATCCCAATTGCTCAACATATCGATGATTTCAGCATTTTCAAAGCTGGCCAAAGAAATATCCTCTTTGCGTTCACGCCGAGAGTCAAACGACTGCTGCGGTTCTTCTATTGGCTGGCTTGCACAACAGGCCGATACACATCTGTCACGTAGCTAGGAAGGAGGAGATCCAAATAATACGCGCGGCCAAGGAAAAAGTACGATATCTTTTTTAGAAATTTTTTCAAGCAGAACGTGTATAATGTAAAACAAGAAGAAACTTGAATTTTAAATTAGAAGATTGTTTAACAGGTTTACTTCTTTTGACATAAAAAGAAAAATGAATCTCACGACTAAGGAAACAATTTTTGCATGCATTTTTCTGTTAGAAAGATTCTTTTTGTATAAAGAAGATTTTGAAAAGATTTTTTTAGGATAAAGATCAAGAAGTTTGTATCTACCTTTTTTGTAATTAACATTAAATTTTAAACCCAGGAATAATTTTACATTTATTTTTTTCAACATAGAAAGATTAATTTCGAAGTTAATAATTTTATTTAAAAAAAAACATAAATTTCAATATCGAGGACAATTTTGAATTAACCGATGAGTTTTATTAAAAAGAGAAGATTAGTTTACTGTATATCTACTTCTTTTTTATCTGTTCATGAATCAAAGATATAAAATACTTCTGTGTTCATTTTTTGATAACAGATATTTTTTTCCGTAATATATATTAATTATTCCGTAATATGTATTATACCTATGTGTATCGTATATTTAGGGAATGGCTGTCACTTGCGAAGTATGTCCTCATCATCTCTTTCTATGTGTGGACGATCTTGAACGTATAGGGCCTGGTCGGGGTCAAGTAAGACCAATATTAGGAACTAAAGAAGATCAACAAGCTCTTTGGGACAATTTGGATGTAATCGATTGTTTCGCAACAGATCATGGTTAGTGACTTAACTTTTATGTTAAATATCCAATGAACTAATTGATGTTGGGTCAGATAGGTATACGAATTCATAATTGATAAACTTCTGTTATCCTTGTCTACTATCTTTCATTATTCAAACAAATAAAAGTAGAATATGGGGAAAGCTTCTATTATCTGAATTTTTCATTTCTTCAAATAAACAAAATTCTATTGTATAATATATCTATAATATATCTATAAAAATAGAAAAGCAATGGGTAAAGAGGCAGCATGCTGTGACAAAAATTGCATTTTTAGCGACACATTTAATTTCTTTATTTCATCGAGACATTCTAATACACGAATTATTTTGATAGAATAAACCAAACCACATCTTTATTCGAAGAATTTTTCAATCTTACAACTGATAATTCCATAAACCTAAGATTACGACTAATCCGTTAAAACGTATGATGATTATATTGTGTTAGATAAACGGATTAGATAGAGGAGTTTGAAGGAATTTTACCTGTGTGTGGAGTTCTTTTGAAGTTTTGTTTAAACAGACGTGCGTGTTAAATGTAAATATTTAATCTTCAAGCACCGCACACCGTGCAGGAAAAATCGGGCGAGAAACCACCACCTGGATTCCCCGGACTCGAGACAATTCTTCCGCTTCTCTTGACCGCAGTTCATGAAGGAAAATTAACGATAGAGGTAATAGAAGTCCTCCTTGAAAAGAACGATGATAACACGGGATCTCGAGATACGCAGTATCGTATTAAGACATTCTTCTTTTTAATAGATCGTTGGAGACACGATAAAAGATGTTTGTAACTTGTTTGATCGCGGTGTAACAGGCCAGGGGGTGATTTTACATGTAAAGATAAGTCTTCATTCGAGGTTTCGTTTCCGAGAAAATTGAATTTTATCAAATCAATTTAGATTTCAGAATTGGATCAAAATTCGTCAGATACATTTGAATTTTTAGCTAATTCCGGATCAGATAAGAACGAATAATTAATACGAAGCTATTCGCGCGGAAAATTATTATTTAAAGAATAAAACTATTTATAAAATTGTTCAATTAAATTTTATTTTATAAAACTAATATATCTTCGCGTGTAAAATAATTTGCAATTATTCACTTAATTCTTGGCCTGTTTTTCAATACAAAATCATCCCCTAGTTGCTCGAAACGTAACCATAGAGATACTTAGTACATAAATACATACTCTCGAACATAAGTAATATCGAAAAATATCTTTTACATCTTTTCAGGATATAATAGACAAGCTCTACAGAAACCCAAAGAAGATCTTCAATGTGCCAGATCAGCCAAATACCTACATCGAAGTTGATCTTGACGACGAGTGGGTTATTCCTGATGCGATGCCCTTCAGCAAATCGAAATGGACTCCTTTCGCAGGAATGAAAGTTCGTGGATCGGTTCATCGGGTAGTTCTTAGAGGAGAAGTGGCCTACGTCGAGGGCCAAGTTCTGGTTAACCCTGGTTTTGGCCAAGATATTAGAGAGATGCAAGCAAAGATGAAACTTCAAACAATTCCGAATGCCCTGATGGTGGATATAGGATGTCAGAGTCGACCGGGTTCGGCGTTAGATGGCCTTTTGTCACCGAGTTATGAGAAGTACAACAATTACAACGAACGGGTAACAGACATGTTACCTTCCTCGGAGGAAGAGCAGAGTAATATGGAAATTTGTTTCGATGAAAATAGTATTCGTCATTCAGAAGATAGCATTTGGGAGAAAGGTATTATTTTCGTTAATAAAAATATTCTGTCTGTTGTTTGGCTTATAGTTTGTCTTTCGAGATACTTTTTATATATAGTTGTGCTTTAAATATAATATGAATATATAATATTAAATACGTATTCTAATTATGTATATATTTATAATATACGTAACATTTAATATTATATTTCGAATACAATATAACATTTTAACTTATAATATAACTTTAAATAACTATATAAACATAATTATAACTTATAAATGTAAGTTTTAAGCAAAATTATATTGAACGAAGTAATGATTGAAGATTATAAATTGAATTTATAAAAAGACACAGATAGTAGTACAAAAAAAAAAAAAAATGATAAAACTTCAGTCCTACTTATTTTGTTTATTTCGCTGAGACATCACATAACAGCACAAAACAAACTGTGAATTTTGATAAAAATTTATATTTTTATAAGTGAAATTACGAAATGGAACCTATTGTTTTAATATAATAATGAGTATTACAGCGATTGATTAAGTTAAGATATAGTCATTACATTAATCGAAATTAATTTCCATTAAACAGACACTCGTAATATTATCAATAAAAAGAAAATTTCGAAGATTGAAAATGAAATATGTCATTACTTTTAATCATTACTTTTAATTTTTTTCTTAAAATGATATCGTCGAGTAACAGATGACTCACAATACTTTAGACTTTAATTATCTAAAGATATTTTAAAATACTAAATACTAAATACAAAGATATTTTAAAATACTAAATCATTAACAATCAAACGTCGTCATGAAGGATTAAATAAGATTTTGCAAATGAAACGGCGATAAAATGATTAAATGCCATCTTCTGAGTGACATAATATAAATTCCTCCATTTTACCGGAAAATTTCAATCCCTTTATTAACCTTTCGTTTATTTGTTGCAGACATATATGCGCAATTGCAAAATTGCATATCGAATAAAACGAACGTTCACTTCGCCCTAGACATAGATTCCCGCGAGCATATGAAACTTCTAACAACAACTCAACAACGCACCATCTCTCCACTTCCCATTACCAATGCAACGAAATACAAGAGTGATAGTAATCCAAATCTTCAACTGACTCCTGTGCCATCAGTCTGTTCGATTCACACTAGTCACAATATAATCGGACACAACATTCTGACAGTGGACATTTTCAACAAAGAACTACTGAAAGACGTCTTCAATCTTGCGGAATCTCTTCGCAACGCTGTTAGGAAGGAACGACCACTGGATCATGTTCTGCGGGTAAGAACGAATGCGAAATATCGAGTGTTCTCTGCACATGAATGATTATTTGTCTACTCTTCCGATCTTTCTTCTGTTTTTTTGTTTTTTGCGTCAATGTTCACTCACAGTTGGATAGTCACTATTAATCAAGATTTCTATAAATATTTTAAATAAAATGAATATCGTAGACAAAAGAATTTTAAATAGTAACATGAATAACTAGATGCATTTTCATTGCACTTTTATTGTAATATAATATTTTGAATATACGAGAGAGTATCGTACAGATTTGTGAGATTTAAAATAACTGATTTATTTATTAGGACGTACAAAGAGCATAACATACTGCAAAACATATTGAATAAATGTGTTTTTGATATATGTTTCTCATTTGACATAAAATTTTTAAATTTCTGGTAATTTTAATGAACACTTTACTTTTATGTTCGTGTATCATGAACTTTGTGTAAAATTAATCTTACTGTACAAGGAAAAATATTCTATAACAAAATTCGTACGTCTGCAACAAATTTAACATAGGTGTTTTACAGGGAAAAGTGATGGCATCAATTTTCTACGAGGCTAGTACAAGAACTTCTTGCAGCTTCGCGTCTGCAATGGAACGACTCGGAGGTCGAGTGATATACATGGATGGTTCAACATCATCTGTGAAAAAGGGAGAAAGTTTGGAAGGTTTGCAATCTTATATGAAATGAAATTTTGAGACCGTTGTAACGTAAGTTTGACAAAGAAATTTGTTACAGATTCGGTAACAGTAATGGCTGGTTATGCGGACGTAGTTGTTCTTCGACATCCTGAACCTGGCGCTGTTTCGGTGAGTTGATCTTCAATTTCAACTAATGTTATATTCTCTTTAAGTCTATTCTTTCGAATATTTTAATGCTTAAACGTTATGTTACTGAAACACAAAATGCCTGCTAAAATAGTACTTCAAAAATCGTAAAGGACAATTCAAGAAACATTTGAGAGAGAAAACTATTTTTTATTTGAGATTTTTTTTTCTAAAAAATCGAGTTTGAAAAAGAAATTTAAGAATCTTTTCATTTTTCGTTTCCAAAAAATGTTCAGTTGTGGAATTTGAAAATTTATCAAGTATACGTGTACCAATAAAAATAACAATTATTAATTGCACTTTATAGGTGATTTATTAATTAAAATAGCAATCATTAGTTGTTAGATTTGAAATTAAAATTAATATCTACTAATTAACAAATAATCTTCTTCTCCTATAAGTAAACGATATTCTTATTACAGAAAATTAAAATATTCGATTAATAAGACATATATACTAAATAATAAACACATATATTACTGCAATAAGAACATGTATTTATCATTATACATGCTCTATGTTCAGAGAGTTGCACAACAGTGCAGAAAACCTTTAGTGAACGCCGGCGACGGTGTAGGAGAACATCCAACTCAGGCCTTGCTCGATATTTTCACCATAAGAGACGAGATCGGTACGGTGAACGGTTTAACGATCACTATGGTCGGCGATTTGAAACATGGTCGAACGGTTCACTCGCTCTCAAGGTAAGAAATCACGTGTACTACATTTTACGAATCTATTGCTAATTCATTTATGTTGCAAATAGTAATATCCTTCAAACGGTATCCATCCGTTTTGTGTTATAGATTATTGACATTGTACAATGTCGAACTTCGTTACGTGTGCCCTCCTGGCCTTGATATGCCTGATCATGTGGTGAAGTATGTGTGCGAACGCGGAATATCTCAGGAACGATTCAGCACCCTCGAGGACGCTCTTCCTGATACGGACGTTCTTTACATGACACGCATTCAAAGAGAACGTTTCGCTACACAGGAGGAGTATAATAAGGTAAGCGCTTCGTTTATTAGACTGTGGACGCAAATGTTACACATTTTTTTTCGGTAAATTTTAAGAAACAGTTCAAAAATGTGTACAGATAAATTTGTGAACGATAAAATTATTAGTTTTTAAATTCAATTTTATAGCATTTCGATTCTACAGAGTATATTTGTCACCCTTCAATTTTAACTACAGTTAACAGATTAAAGACATGTGTGTCGCATATTCGAATTTTGTCATATATTCCCAGGTTTGTGGACATTTCGTAATAACACCGCAGTTGATGTCACGCGCTAAGAGGAAGATGGTCGTGATGCACCCCTTACCACGAGTGAACGAGATCAGTACAGATTTCGACACGGATCCACGTGCAGCTTACTTCCGGCAGGCTGAGAATGGCGTTTACGTTCGAATGGCTCTGTTGGCAATGGTCCTTGGTCGTGCATGACACATTCTAGCATGAAAACCACGTTGATTTATTCGGTCAAGATCAACTGGATTTTCAGAATCCGTATACAAGTAATGACGTGTGAAAAAGAAAACGAGACGTTCCCGATTGCATTTTCAATGAGACTGTGATTCGCATAATACTGTTCTTTTTTTCTTTTTTTTTTTTCATCATTGACCAATAGTTTCATATTTAGAACGCAGGTAAGAAGCTAGACAACAGAGAACATATGCAGTGATGGACAAAATTAAATTTGTATTAAAAGTTTTCAATTAATCCTTTAAAGTCTATTTTGGTAATACTGCATAATGCAACGAACTTTGCATATACATATAGTTTTTTATATATACAAAAATAGATGTTTAAAATAGAATAGTATTTCATAAAAATTTATCAATGTTTATAGAATAATGAAATAGGAAAGATGTTTCTTAAAATTCAGTTAGTCCTTAAGGAGTTAAACACTCGTTTATTCTAGGACGCACAATGATTCTGAATTCCACGACAAAAAGACAATAGTCAATAATAAAACTCAGAATTCGATAAAAATGCATTTTCGATAAAATTTTATCTCTCTGCGTTTTTTACAAAGACAGTGAAATTTTATCATGTAATTCCTCTGTGTGCAAGTAAGAATGAAATCGCATACGTGCAAGATAATAAAGTCTTTTATTTTTGACAATACATTTATATACATTTCTCCCGTTTGCAGTATGTACACGTAATATAAATAGATATGTAGTGAAATAATGTACAATTTGTATTGAGAGCGCTGACGTGCCACATGTTGCGTTCACGATAAGCAAATATATTCGCGATTAACGTCAGCGATTTTTCCAAACATTTATGAATCGTTAACGAAGTTATTGTGCCATTAAGGCATCGAGGTCTCATCGTTTTGCCCGTCGTTACAAGGTCGAAGAAATGACTAGACCTTTAAGGAAAGCATTTGGATACGTTCGTATAAGGTCCGGTTTCGTTCGGATTTTTGATTCGATTCATATCAAAATTACTTACAAATACGATACAAGAGTATTCGAACAATTAAGATTAAAAAATTACGGAATAAATCATCTAATGTGACCACTAGACTGTGGATCACTTACATTTTTATAAACGCAGTCGAAAATAGGATTTAAACAAAAATCTATTTTCGATTTAGTTTCACTATTTTATGTATTTTTATATATTATATGAATTTCCAAATTTTACATAAACGAATAAAAATCTGCAGTTTTAATGATCACAATTATTCTATAGTTGAACCGATTGAAAAATTTTTCTTTTTAAATAATAGTGTTCAGTGAGATCTACATTGCATTTTTTCAGTTGCTTATCTACAATTTATTCTTAAATTAATATTGTTATATTTATATTTTCTGAACTATTAAGTAAAGGACATACAATAAATTTGAGTAATCAAGTAGAAGACTTCACTGAACATTATTATTAAAAATCAACAATAAATTATCATGGCAATCAAGCTCATTGTATATTGTAGATACTATATTTGGAATATCATGATTGTGTTGATAAAATTTGAAACCAATTAGAAAATGCATATGGAAGTTACATTGTAAATGTAATAATACAAATTGAAGTTTATATAATACAGTGCTAATTACAGTGCTTATGTGCCAAAATGTTCCGCACATACATAATACATTATATACGACTGTTCGAATACTTACATACAGACATTTTTTGATTTTCACATTTTATGATTCAGAAATTAAATAATTGAGTGAATGGTATTTGATGATTTGATCAGTCACTAAAATTTTGCTGTAATAGCGTTAGCTTCCAAGTTCTTTATAAAGTTCCGTCACTCTCTTGTTTGAAAGCAATCACGACACGCGATCGATGCGATCGAGAGATAGATAGGGACATGTAAATCACAGTTGCGCGAACGACGTTGGATGGTCAAAGAACTTCTTCAGTTTCTCTCACAAAATTTATTACACCTGAATTTTGGAAGTTCAACACTTCCTGTTGGCTTGACGAAGAAGTTTGATGAAAATACTGAGCAACATCTCGAGTCTCGTTCGCGTTGATGATCGATGAATCGCGAAAAGGTGTCAAACTATGGCGTCACGCGTTCGAAAACTAGCGTCGCTAGTACTAATTGGAGACATATTCGCCGCTAAACACTTGACATCTTCCTTTTGACTCCTCTTTGTTCGCGATAAGGGTGGCATTTTTAATTTCAACTTCTTTTTGTTTAAAATGTTCTTCTCTCTGCAATGCGTTAAAATAATTGACAATTAATTTGTTTGTAATAAGGGAAGAGAAGATTATTTGAGTCAGAGTGTTATTTTTTTATACATTTTTATATTCTCAATTAGTTATTTGACTCAATTATGTTTGAATTAAACTTTATGCATATACCCTGGTTGTGTAATAAGTTCGCATTTCTTCAACAACGTTGAAGATTGTTACGTGCTTTACGTAACATCTATTTAATCAACAATATCAATCTTTTAGTCTATTGTTCTTTACAAATAGATTGTCTTTATTTTTCATGCATTTAAAATCTTAGTTCTTCCATTAAAAAAATTTCGATATTTGTCAATTACACAAAAAGAATATTAGCACAAGCAATCATCTTGTTTGAAAGTTACTTTATTTTTTTAAAATACTTTAAAATATTAAAATTTGGAAATACGTTTAAAATAAAAAAAGAACCGATATTCGTTATTTTTACGTACTGATGTTTGCAATCGATGAAAATTCCCATTGAGAACAATATTACTATGGCTGCAATGATACCGATCACGATTACCACTAATGTTACTATCGCGTCTTCTTCTTCGGGAGTAAAGGGCTCTTCTGTCGTTGACCATGACACTTCTTCTGCAACACGAAATAGGTTTAATCGTTAGTTCGAATACTCTCCAACCGATGATATTTATTTTATAATTACATTAACGAAAAGAAACCTTTTCACGTTGTGCCTTTTAATTTTTACAGCTCAGATTATGACGCAAAAACTTCTGTTTATTTTTATTTCCATCGATGTAAAACAACAGGTTTCAAGAATTTAATTCGAAACCGATATGATATATACATATCTTTTATTGTAATTTGAAGTCGATATGAAATTTGACTCGCGTCTAAGTTTATGCGTGGAAGAAATGCGTGTACTATGAAAGAGATCGATATTTCTGATTATAATCAGTATTTCCATTTTATGAAACTCCTACAAAATTAATTTTTTCACTCTATGAAGTTCCTAAAAAAAAAAATTCCATAAAATGCCTAATCAGTCATTTTAACCTTCTGGTTTTTGTTTGTTTATAACTGCAAAACAAATAGAACATCGCATCTGCACTATAGGAAGTTGCAAAATTAAGAAATCTTTCGCCTGAAAAGGAATTCCTTAGAAAATTCACGCCACTTCGCGTGCCTGCTTCGTGATAATTACTCGAGTTACATAAATTTCCGGTCAATGAACGAGCCACGGCAGTGTTACGAGACTCGATTGTTGCAACATACTCCTACATAAAAAAAAGAAAAATGGGGGGAAGCGTGCATATTTGAAATTCACGCGATAGATACGCATTTGGACATGGGAAATGAGAATGAAAGATTTAATGGTTCAACACGATTGACGTCACCGTGTGCCTTCCGTTCTTCGTAAGAACTTATGGATGACGTCTTTTCGGGCACGTACGCCACCCTGATGACATTAGTCGACCGCAGGAAATAGAAGGGTCTGCACTATCTATTGAAACCCAACCAAATAACTTCCACGCGGAAATCTCATGTTCGAAAGCATCATTATCGCGCGCACGCTATTGCCTATAAACAGTGACGAGCATGACCGAACTAATAACGATGAAAAATTATTGACAATTTAAACTGTAATGAGAGAAAAAAAAGCTATATAAAGCAAAGTTACTTTTATTTGCGAAAATTGTAAAAATTCAAATGTCCATAAAAACGTTGAAAAATGTTTTTTCACGAGTAAAATTTATCGTGGTCTTGAAGATTGAAATCTTATCTCCACAACGGCCCTTCAAAATTTGCTGTACGATTTTTTTCTCACTATTTTATCTAACATTGAACATTAGTATCAAATGTTAGGATTTCTTTAATTTTCGTCATTTGATCTTAATATTCAAAGTTAAAATATAATAATTAAAAAAGAATCGTGTTGCAAGTTTTAAGGGGGAATCTTCAATCGTCGAGATTATAAATGTAAATTTTCCATCTAGCAGAATTATAGAGAAACATTTATTTCATGTAATCATACATTATCAACCCATTTAAAACATAATATTATTCATTCGTAATCATACTCAAGAAAGAAATATCATCGATGCACGTCTCCGTCATTGATACCTTTTTATCGCTTTCTTCTTTATCGCTTCTAATATCTTCTTTAACGCTCTGATTGCAGGAACACGTGTGCTGATTAATCACGTAGATTTTTTATAATTAAATTTATAACGATTTAATTAAATTAAATTCAGAAGATATCATTTCTGTGACGTAATTTGGATGTGTTACGTTTCCGAGAGGAAATTCCTCCGTTTGACGCCCAGTGATTGATATGAAAAGGCGTATATATTAAATTGCATTGATATCGACTTTTTAGATAAAAGATATACGTAAAAAATTACTGTCATTAATAAACAGAATAATCTGCATCTTTGTATATTTTTATTTCCAATATAAATAACGAGAATTTAATGAAAATTCAGTATAAGTAATTTGATAAAAATATAAATAATGATAATAATAATTGATGAAAGCAAGTTCATGTATAAAAGATTAATAAACTGAATGATCTATGTCTTCATCTAATTTTACAGGAATGATTTTTCAAGGAAAATCGTGAAGCCCGATTATTAAAAAGATTATAAAGAAATATACAGTTAAATTGAAGAATTTTGGCTTCTAGAGAATTCCAAAAGTGGAGTTAATCATTTTGCTCTGAATGGCTCAATTGAAACGTGTTAGAACGAGTAACCAAGTCACATAACCGTTATTAGATTCGTGCGATCATGAAAAGTCAGAAGAGACTGAGATTTTATTGGCATCTGTGTTGTTGATGGTATGTACATACTTGTTTTTCCAATACTACGAACTTCAACGCTCACAAATGTACATTCCTTCGTTTGTTGTAAGCAAATATTTGCATACCTTTCTGCTACCAACTTGATTGTATTATCTTCCGTTTCTTTGTTATGCCAACGTATGCAAAATTAATCAAAGCATTTTCTCACAAGTGATTGATTATTTTACAAAAACTAGACGTTGGTTTGCAATAACTCGCGTTAATATTACTGTCGTACTCATTCGTTCGTAATTATTATAGTGATTGATTAGAGTGTAGATTTTTACTATTTCTAGATATTATATCTATATAATTTCTAGATATTGTATCTATATGAAAGATAAATTAAATTAGAGTACAGGGAGAATCTTTTTAATGTATCAAAACAAATTTTAATTAGTATATTAAAATACTAAATAAATATAAATATAAAGCGTATTTTATAGTAGGCAGAAGTATATATTTCATTTTCATAATGCACATATTTCTTTCTGAGTAAGAAACAACGAATTAAATGAGCCGTTCAACAGTCACGTTGCTCAACTCCATAAATTAAAAAGTACAGGAAATTCGAGACGTTACAAACACTGATTTTCTAATTACTTTGGAGTAATTTTATTACTTATGTCATCTTATTGCGATATAAGTCAACTTATGAACTACTTGTTTTCCTATATTTATGTAATAAAATTAACTGATTAAAAACTGAAGTTGTTCAGTTTTAATTCTGAGAGACTATTTGAATTCATATTCAAATAGTCTCAAATTTCATAAAATTTCCGAATATTGTAACGAGTCATTATATAGACTACGGACGTTCATACATTTTTGTTTTTATAAACATAACTGAAAAAACGAAATCTAAAGAGAAATTTGTGTCGTTTACTAAATAAATATTATATTAGACCCTCTACTTTGGATATTTCCTTTCTTTAACAAAAATTTTAAATTTTTCAAAAATGCATGAACATCCATTATATAACTCTGATTATAAATAAGCCATAATTTATTATTGAAATTTATATAATTTTATTTCGTCTTTTACATTCTCTACGGTATAGAAATTAAGTAACAGAATTAAATTAGAAAAATTAAGCGTGAATTTTTATAATCCAACAGTTAAGTATTAGCAAAATTAGTTAGAGTTAAGAATTAAATCAGATGATCAGATCGCAATAATCAGAGAAAGTATCGAGACAGTTCGATCTCGTGATGCAATTAGTTTTTACTCCGCAGTTATAAAACAAGGTTTCCAACTAGAAAAACTGGAACAATTTTTTCCACAGAAAGAATTATTATAGGCGTATTTCATCTCTCTCACAGTCCCTTACGCAAAGGAATGCGAACGAAGGAGAAGCAACATGCCACCTGTTGAATTTCGCGTTTGGTAGGGTTTGCAGCAATCTGCTAGAAAGTACGGAAGAAAGCCAACTCACTTGACTCGAATTTCTCATTTTGAACGTGTCACGTGAAAGAGATTAGCATCTTGTTTCATTATCATTCAATTGAACGTTCACGTAAATTCTTATCTTTGTTACTGTAATTAAAGGATGAAAGACTTGTTTGAATCGCAAGCACTTTCGAGCACTTTATTTTATGTAGTCGATATATAAATATACGCGATATTTGAGAAAATTTTGAGTAATATCGGAGCAAGTAAACACTGTTTTATAACTGTATAATATTAATTAATTAAAAATTCTTTTAGTTATCTAATATTAATTAAAATTCTTTTATTATTGACAATTCTTTTACGCGCTAGAAGATCAATGTTTACAATTACTAGTAAAAAAAAATAGCGCTTTGTTATAATACTATTAACAATTACAGTCATTAAATTTATTAGAGATTTAAACATCTGAATTTTAAATTTTTACCTTTAACAATAATGTTTAAGTTCAACGTTAATTTTAACATTTAACGTTTAATACGAATGTATATAGATTTATAAAAAATTCAAATGTTGGAACCTTAATTCAAATATTAAATTTATGGAAAATTTGAATATTTGAACTTTTAAGTTAAATATTAGATTCAGAGAAAAGTCGAATATTTTACATTTAATTTATATATTAGACTTATGAAGGACATAAATATTCAAATTTTCTTTACAAGATTACGAACAATTTGCACAGTTTTTAATTTAAATATCAGGTTTATGAGAAATTTAATGTACAGGATACGTACGTAATATCAACCACCATTAAAACAAGGGTATAAAAAAAGGAAAAAAGAAAACGATTAAAATTTCAAACAAATTACCTTTCGTCGACAACGCGAGTCTCACACTGTCATTGACACTTCTAGCGTGTACCCCCATGGCGATTAGTCAACTCTTCTTGTTATTTCACCTTATTCACGGAGAATCGTCTACGTCTCGGAAGCGTGTACGAATCAGCCGGTTCGAAATCACGAAGTAAACTGTCGGCTACACGGTACATGCCTCGAGTCGAGTGATACGCTTGGTGAGGCCTCTACGAGAGCAACGGAAGCCACGAGCGTGTAATAAAGACAGGAACTAACGAGGAAAGAAGATGAAGAAAGAGAGGCTACCTACTCTTCACGGCCTGCGTGAAGAGAAAGGCGGGGAAGAGAGGAAAGAGAAACCTCACGGTCTCGATCGGAGAGTCCGTGAGGATCGACGTGCAACTTCCATTCACTGTCCGGGATCCACGTATAACCTGGTACGAAATTTATTATTGAACCCGCACGATTTCGTACAGTCCTCTTCAAGATTATTCACCGTCACTCATATCGATAAATCTAATCGTATCTTTCATGTAGAATAAATAGTATATATTTGACACGGTTCGAGATGATTGAACTGTCCATTTTTAACTCTCTATGATTAAGATTTTATTTATTAACAAGAGGATATAATTTTTTTTTTTTATAAAAACGTGTTTCTATTATTAGTAATTAATGAAAATTCAGGAATCTTGGCCAAAATCCAGACTTTGTATAACAAAGAACGTAAATCGAGGAAAGTGACGCATGGAACGAAATGACCAGAGAACTCTAGGAATTTGACTCATGTTTGAGGAATTGTTTGCTATCGAAATTAACTTGATGTTTCTTACAAAGGAAGAGGTTTCACTTCCTAAAAGTTTCAAATAAATATACCTGTTTTGATTTATACACTTTTATGATACTTTAGTTTGTTATACAATGTTTGGATTAACTTGACTTAAGTATTCATATCATTGTTAAATAACACTCTTTCCAAATTGGTCACTGTAAAAGATATAAAAGCAATACTTAGACAATTAACCGAACGCAACGTGAGTGTCAATAACAGCGAATATGTCAAAGAAAATTCGACGCGTTACTCATTTTGTCTATATATTCTGTAGGTCATAACTTGGACCTCGTTTCGATCACGAATCGTAGGATATTTTTCTATATTTCACTCATCTTCAAATTCATCTTCCGCTTCTATAATGCTTGTAAGAGAAATACGCGTCCGCCCCGTGCAGCACACCAACAAAACCACTCATAATCTAGAAGTATACAGCGATGATTTCAAAAATGGATACTAGTAAGAAATGTGATTGTAAATAACAGTGTACGTACATAACTAGCTGTCATCGCGGGATAAACATCGAATCCCGGGCTTATGTAATACTGCGGAAGGAGAAATATCTTTGTAGAAAATGCCAAATAAGAAGCCGAGCTTAGATATAGAAAAGAGGCCAGGGCGTTGAACATCATTTCCTAAAAGAAAATAAAAAAATTTATAAGACTGTTAACTTCAATGTTATAGTATATTAATTTCTCCGAGCTATTAAAAGTGAAATAAATCAAACGAAAGGCTCTATTATATGTTATGTAACGATATAGTTAAACTGCGGATGTTTATCTAGGCATTTAATTAAGATGTTTAATTAAAATATTTAGGATTTTTAGGATAATTAAAATATTTTGTTGAAGAGTGTAAAAATTCATACAGAATACGAATTTCAATAATATACATTTACTGGGACAAATATTTAGATTCCCCTCTTTAATCGCTTTCGCAAGGCAAACAAAAAATTGCATAAACATCCGCAGTGTATATATTTTAATGATCAACAGTTGCAAATGATGGTGTACAGATTTAACGTACGAATAATGACGATCGAATTAATTTGTAGGATTTTTCGGACACGATGTAGCAGGCGAGTAACACCGCCGATGTTAAGAAACATGCGGAAGACGTGGTTAACGATCCCTCGAAAGCTGAACCGATTGTTGTACTGTATCTCAAGCCGTAATTAATTAACAAACTTTGTATCAAACCGCTGATGATCTAAAAAGATTATCCAGCTGATTATTAATGTTTCTTGATTGAAATACAAGATTCCAATATAACGTAATAATAATACAACATTCTAATATCATACAATACTCTATGTATAAAATCTCGAAGAATTTCCCTTAAATAATTGCAAACGAAGTCGATATTCGTTTTCAAATTCTCCAACGTACCGTTTCGCTCAGTTTTAGCACACCAGGCAAAGTTTTCAGGAATTCCACGTGTATGCACGTGCAACATCTGCAGAAGCAACATTCTACTCCACCGGCAGCATGCGTGCCTGTAGAAGACATCCGAATTACCGGACCTGTTCCGTTTCTGCCCATGATTTCTCGTTTTTTTTTTTTTCCGAATTATTTACTAATCAATGCAAATTTGACACTCTTAACTTGATGTTTGTTTCCATGTGCCTTAAACGTAATTGTATAAAAATGTATTTGCTTGTATTTGCTAGGATAGGTTCATCAAGGGCCGTCGCTCATTTAACGGAAGAATTCTTTTTCCACTTTTTTTACAGTGCCTGGTTTCATTGGTTGTTATTTTTACTTTATACAGTTGATCTCAGTATTTTAATTTTAGCGTTATTTGCATTTATTCGTGTGTCACTTTATTTATTTATTGTATCCGAATGCGATCATTTTATGCTGATGTTCTTTAGCGTATGCCGATGCTAAACGATGGCAAACAGCATCAACGCGGGGACAATAAAACGTCGTTGATCTGGTGCAGTGCTGTTAAGGGCGACGGCCTTAAACTGTCTCGTGTTCACTCAGACTCTTGATTCGATCATCCTAATTGGTTAAACGACGATTAATTTGCATCATTATAGATAGGCAGAGAGAACTGACTCGATGATTCGTTACACGCTCGAAACAGAGATTGATCGACAAGCTAACATACACTGTCGTTCATAAGTATCCGCGCAGGAGTCAATGACTACGATTGTCTTGCATAGTCAATAAATTGCAAACGTGAGTTTTATTTAATATTGCATTTATTTTAAATCGCAATACAATTTTAAATTAGAATATAACAATGCAATTTTATTTTTAATTATTAATTTTTTAATTCATCATTTCTATTGCAGTGTATATTGCAATTAAATTCATCGATATAACTATTTCAGATAATGTCAATGACTTGTTCATGCGACTTGAAACAACCAGACACTGTAACAATTATGAGATCTTCAAGGAACAAAATTATTCTACAAATTTCGACAATTTTATCATGCCCGATTAGGTTTCAAAATCATGCTAACAGAATAATTCTTCTTCGACGAAGAGAGTCAAGCGTTCGGATACTTTTAAGCGACAGTGTACGTATAGTAAGTATGTAGGATGCAAGTAAATACTTTAACAAGCCGGGGAAGAACGTCAACCGTGTTCACGAACTGTTTGAAACTAACTGAGGGTGTTTTCTCCGGTTGGTACAGAGCATTTTAAATGTCGTTGCACCCCCTACGTCGTATTCGAGAGAGAAGAGATACTGATGTCTATTTCTGGCACGTGCCGCGCCGAAATATATGTATGTATGTAGTCGACCAGCTGCACCAGTCGACACACGGGAAATATAAAAAAGAAACATACAATTAGGTGTGTCTTTTAAACAGAACGTTGATACGGTGCTTACATACAAGGGAATTTGCGGTACAACGGAAGTTAAAATGAAAATCAGAAAGGCTTGTAAAAATAAAGAAGAACTGAGAAATGGTATTACACTTACCTCAAGATCTATAGATCGCGTTTCATATTGGCAACTTCTAAAAATTTAAATTATCTAATAATACGTGCTACCTCTTGCTCTATTTTCAATTATCCTTTAATCGTTCGATTTTACTTCATACCTGAGATTTACTTATCGTATGAAAATCGAGAATTCTAAATATAATTTTATAATTGTGAGACGCGATGCTAAATCTGTTAAAACCACGAATTATAATGGACGTGGATTTCGATCGTGGTTTTTGAATCAATAAACGTACATCGATTCCTCGTTTGTTCGCACGCGTAATGTAAAATTGTTTATTTAACATTATGCATGGTACCGTGGTATCCTGTTTTCTCTCTTTGTGCAGCTTTATCAAAACTCTTCTCGCATACGCAGCTACGTGCGGACCCACGTCCTGTCAATGGCCGTGCGAAAGTTTCGTTTTTGTCGACGTTACGCTCGAATTTTCTGACTCATAATCACGCCAATAACACGCTGATCTGCATAAAAAAAAAGAGCGAGTCTTTTTCTCGACGATGATGAGTAATTGGACTTAGGTCAATGATCTCTGTACTTTTGTTTTTTCCTTTTATTGGATTTTTATGTTTTCGTCAAATATAAATATTATACATATTATGTAAGTACAATAAATATACGCATATAATTGTGATACAATACGTATAGTTGGGTATATATAATTATAATAAATATATATGCGTATGTAATTATATAAATATACGTGTTTTTGAATTTAGCAAAAAGAATTTCGTGTTTTCGTAGGACTTGTGTAAATTGTAAAAAATTTTGCGATTTGTCATGATCTTCAGTAATGTAATAAGTATTATAGTGTCTCTTTATCTTGGATTCGTTTGTGTTTTAATGAACTAGACTGCAGATTTTTTGCGAGTTTATACTTTTGTGGATACACATACATATATATAATATATAATAAATCACAGTTGTATATAATAATAAAATAAATATACAATTCAAAATCATGCAATTGGATAAAATTGGCAATTAATCACAATGTTCATCTGCCTTGATGTCATTTTCCGTATCCACGAGAGTAAAATATTCCAAGATAAATGAAACACTCGTATATCGAAAAGCTTTTATAATAAATACACACCGGTATGTAAGAACCGTGTTAGATCATCCTGGAAATTACCATTGTTTCTTTACGCTTTACTTTGAAAGAACGCAAGTTGCCCTCTTGCCATTACATTGGAATTTACCTGCGATACTATCAACGATTGCAAGGATATTCGAGCGACCTTAACTCGTAATACATGCTTGAGAATCGTCCGCTTTTACCTTGGCCGTCAAATAGTCTTGAATATCAATGGCATGATCTGCGTGAACCTTACGACCTTGAGTATCTTTGAACACGACAAAAGTAAAAGTACAGTGACAAGAATATAAATTCGTATAAATATCTGCTTTTTAATTAGTTTTGTTTAGAAATACGTCTTGAAAAGCTGGATGATCTAACGGCTAGGAAATCTCGCGTCTTTCTACTGTATAAATATATTTAAAATATACAAAATAGAAAAAGTATCTCTTTTATCAAATTTTCGAAGTCACTGTATAAAAAAGCGTTGCGTTGCACAATGCTCGACATCGAAAGTATCGTCGATGATTTACGAGAAAAATAGATACATATATGAAACACGACAGTCGAATGTATGATTTCGAAACGTGTCTGAATTCTTGGTGCAGGGCACTGCGTGTAAAATGCTCATAGTCCTCTGTACGTCCGAAGTGCGATAATCGTACTGATAAGATACAGCGCTGAATTTACGAGACCGCAAATCTGAAAAAGAATATAGCAAACTGGAATTTTATAATTGCAATTAATATAATAATGGTAATAGGGAATTATTTTATAATACAGTAAGAAATAGATTGCAAACTTTTATATGTTTGTAGAAGATTTTAAGAATTGCACATGGGACGCAGATAAAATATCCAAAATATAATATTTTCTATAACATTTGATATGTAAGACGCGGTCTAGCAATAAATAATAAAAAATTAAAAAAAATAGTAAGTATAGTAAAAAATAAAAAACCTTTGCCGGAAGAATAATTCTTTTTTTTTTCACTTACTGCAGCTGCCATTAGTAGTTCGTATTCCCTTTGATGATACTTTCTATCAGACACAGCTGCTATGAATGTTATCGACGCAGCTAAATACAATCCAAACGCTATAGCATGATAAAGAAGTTCCTGAAGAAAAAAGACATGAAATATAAGATTAATGTTCCGTTTATCGATCATTTCGTTTGGACATTTCGTTTCGTTACGGAAGAACGATGTGACATTTTTACGATTTGGTGGTGGTAAAATTACAAATGTTACATAAACGTAACATCTCATTGTATAATTCTTTTCGAATTTAATATTGTAAAATTCTATATTCCACTACTGAGATTATGAACCAAATTCCGAAATATTCGCTCAATACTTAATAATTTTTATGAAATTTCAAGAAATTGAAATATTTGTGACATAGTGAATTGTTGCTTGGTTGTTCCTTATTTGCGTTTAATAAAATGGACGAAAAAAATCGTAATTCAAATATAAAACTTACATAAACGGTCTTTGAAATGATACTGGACGTTGATAGGGAAATTAGGCAACTTAGAAGCAATACGAAGGTACCGATCATAAATGTGGTTGTTATTAAAAGGAAAAATAGTTCAGCGGTGATCCAATAAGCTTCAATGTGATGCCCTTCGATTGCCACACATACTATTCCAAGTGTCTAAAATATAAATGCAAAAAGAATGTTAGTAAGATGTATGCAACTATCAAAAATTGTATCTACAATAATTCTAGACATAAAACGAAATTTTAATTACAGAGTGAAAATAAAAGAGAGTAATTTAATTAAAAAGCAGAAATAGAAATGGTAAAATGGAAGATTTTGAAGAAAAATAGATTCTTATTTATGAAAATATTTCTTATTTATTGATGAAATAAAACGAAAGTTGCCTCTTACTATATTTCTGATTTTTAAGACAGTATTTAAGACAAGATTACAGAGTTTTTAATCCTAATGTTTGAAGATAGTAGGATCTGTAGTCTACAGATACATATATCCGAAATGATTTTTAATTAGACATTAAAATTGCAAAAATATATTGTGGAAATATTATATAAGTGTTTCGTGCATTTACATGAAAAATTTTTGTACAAATTTTAAATATAATTTCATAAAATTAAATGTAATTCGAACGAGTGTTTCGATCTATGAATAGAATTTTTAAATCTTTATTCAAATATTTTGCAGATTAAATAAAACACAGAAAGAAAGTTTAAGGTTCAATTAATAAGACGCAATTATAAAAGTTCACGAATTAATCCTCCTAATTAGTTTTTTTTGCAAATAAAAATTTAGTCAATTTATGGACATTCAAATGCTAGCGTCGCGTAGCGGTGAAACGGTGGAACTAAAATCTGTCGCTGTCCTTGTCTAATATTGTTGCTCTCCTTGTTTACCACACGTATATGTCTGTCCTTGTTCCACGGTATTGCCCTCTCTG